GATGTATTCTTAGTGAGGGGGGAAGGTCCAGTGCATAGGTGACAGGATTGATCTGCCATCGAGCCTGGAAGGGTCCTTGGCATCTGTACTCCAGTGTGGCTGAGGGCCGTGGTGAGGCGTAGTGTTGAGTGGAGAGCCAGACTTTATCCCCAACACATAGGGGATTTATTGGCGTTTCCGGCCAGCATGTTTTTTATATGCGGCCGTAGCCTTTTCCAGGTGCTGGGAAAGTTCGGTCTGGGTCTTCTGGTGGTACTGACGCATTCGTTGGCAGAGGGGATGAGGGAAGTGCCCAGGGTGCATGGGTGATCACGGGATGGAAACCATAGGTGGTGAAGAAGGGGCTGACCTGTGGATGCGTGTCTGGCATTGTTGTACACGAACTCTGCAAGTGGTAGCTTGAGGTACCCAGTCATCTTGACGGTACCTCAAGAAACATCAGAGGTATTGTTCTGTCTGCCCAGCTGCCAAAGCAGGGCAGTGAGGGGTGCCACCCGGCGGGAGAACCCTTCAATGAACCTCCTACAGAAATTGGCAGACCCCAGAAAATGCTGGACCCCCCTTCACATTCTTAGGGGGTTCCCAGTCCAGGATGGCCTAATTTTCCTGGGATCCATTCGAAGCCCTGTAGGGGCTATGATGTAGCCCAGGAACTCGGTTGCATCTTGGTGGAATGCACACTTTTCCAGCTTGGTGTAGAGACTGTGCAGCTGAAGCTGGAGGAGGACAGCACGGACATGCTGGATGTGTTGCTCCATAGAGCCAGAAAATAGCAGGATGTTGTTGAGGCAGGCAATGACGAAACGGTCCAACATATCGCGTGGGACATCGTTGATGAAGTGCTAGAAGGTCGCAGAGGCATTAGTCAACCCGAACGGCATTACTTGGTACTCGAAGTGTCCATCTCGGGTGCAGAGTGCAGTTTTATTTTATTTTATTTATTTTATTTTATTATTTATATCCTGCCTTTTTCCTACAAAGGGCTCAAGGCAGCTTACATCTCCTCCTCCATCTTATCCCCACAACAACAACCCTGTGAGGTAGGTTGGGCTGAGAGTCTGTGACTGGCCCAGAGTCACCCAGTTGGCTCCCTGGCTGAGCGGGGACTAGAACCCAGATCGTCTGAGTCCCAGTCCCAGGCTCTTAACCACGACGCCACACTGGCTCTTTTCCATTCGTCACCCTCCTGTATGCGGACCAGATTATATGCCACCCCCAGGTCTAGTTTAGTGAAGATGTGGGCCCCCTGTAACCGCTCACATAGTTCTGGGATGAGTGGTGGGGGTACTGGTTCTTGACAGAGACCTGGTTCAGTCACCGGTAGTCAATACAGGGGTGGAGACTGCCGTCCTTTTTCTTCACGAAAAAGATAGGCACTCCAGCAGGGGACCTGGAGGGCTGAATAAACCCACAGGCCGGATTATCATCTAGTTACTCCTGTGGGGGACCTTGAGCTCAGGGGCTGAGAGAGCATACATTCACTCCCGGCTGTAGATCTATGGGGCAATCGTAAGGCTGATGGGGAGGCAGAGTTTCAGCCCCTTTAAACATCCACCAGGTCACGGTAAGGGGCCAGAAGCAAGCTTGGCGGAGATGCTTCCACGACTTCCCCTGAGGGCGCTTGGGGTGTGGTCGCATGACCCGTAGTGGCTGCTAGCTGTGCTCTCATGGCAGCAGTAACCGGATCCCGGAGGCACAGTTCCTGGCAGCGGGGAGACTGGAAACAGGCGGTCCACTGCACCCAGGAAACAGTGGGGTCGTGCAGAGTCAGTCAGGGAATGCCAAGGACCACCGGAAAGTGAGGGGTCTGGATGATATCAAAAGAGATCCATTCCTGCCTCGGTTTCAAGTGCCATGGGGCCTGATGCTAGCAGGGAGCCATCTAGCCCCTTGACAGGAATGGGTCTCTCCTTCTGCCGGGTTGGGATGCGGAAACTTGTGACAAACCCCAGGTCCATGACATTCAAGGAAGCCCCGGAGTCCAGCATAACATCTCCCCGCAGGAACCCGCCTTGGGGTAGAATTAACTGGACAGGGAAGACAAAGTGGGGATGAACGGGCCGGTGTCCCCCTGCAACAGCCAGGGAGGTCCATCTCCCGCTGCTGGACTCTCTGTGGGGCACACATGGGCAAAATGGCCCTTCACCCCACAATACAAGCAGAGCCCCAGGTCCCTGCACCGCTGGTTGCTGCCTCTCGGTTGAAGTGATACCGAGACCCCTCTACCCGCATGGGTTCCGGCAGGGGGTCCACACTGGGAGGAACTGCTTCTCGGAGAGGGCAGGGCATGTCTGAGCGGGTGGCCCCCTGCTCTTTCTCTCTCCACTAGCCGGGCATCAATGCCAATGCAGAATGCAATGAAATCGCCCAGCGCCGCTGGCAGAATGACCCAAGCCACTTCATCTTTGATCGCAGAATTCAGCCCCAAGCAGAAATGAAAACGCTGCACAGCCTCATTCCACTGCGTGTTGGCTGCAAGGCAGCGAAACTTGGCCTCGTAGTTGGCGACAGATCTCTGCCCTTGCCGCAAGGACTGTGGCGCCTGTTCTGCGGTTCGCCCCGGTCAGCATCCCCGCCCGTGTCCGTGAGGGCCCAGATGAACAGGCTCAGATTGCCCAGCATGGGATGGTGGGCTTCCCAGATGGGCGGTGCCCTGGTCAAGGCAGGGCCAGACAGGAGACTCGCCATAAGTGCGACTCGGCTGCGTTCGGTGGGGCAGGCTGCCTCTGGGCATGTCCGGAACAGGAGCCAGCACTGGTTGGCAAACTTCAAAAAGGGTAGTAGAAGGGACACGGGGGATTACAGACCGGTTAGCCTTACGTCCATTGTAGGAAAAACAATGGAAAGGCTCATAATAGAGAGAGATCTAGTGATGCTAGATGGGGAAGGGAGGCTGACAGCCACACAACACGGCTTCCACAAAAACAGGTCCTGCCAGACAAACCTTGCGGAATTATTATTATTATTATTATTATTATTATTATTATTATTATTATTATATTTCTATGCCGCCCCTTGCCGAAACCTCAGGGCGGCTTACAACACGATAAAATACATTGAAATACAATAGCACATAATAAATTACCATTAAATACAAAAATACAAAAAATACATTGATTTACAAATATAAGATTAAAATTATCAGTATAAATTAAGTAAATAAAAATATAGGAGGAGAAAGAGAAGGAAGAAGAAGTTGCCCTGGCCAGATCATATGTTTTAACAATTAAAATGATGTTTAAATAAAAAGGTCTTTACCTGGCGCTGAAAGACCAGTAACGACGGTGCCAGGCGGACCTCTTTGGGGAGTGAATTCCATAGGTTGGGCGCCACCGCAGAGAAAGCCCTCCTCCGAGTACTTACTCTCCTAATTTCTTTCATGGAGGGTTCCCGGAGAAGGGACTCTCCCGCAGATCTCAAAGGGTGGTCGGGCATATACGGACGTAAGCGCTCGTTCAGGTAGCCAGGACCCAAGCCGTTTAGGGCTTTGTAGGTCATAACCAACACCTTGAATTGGGCCCGGGCTTCAATGGGAAGCCAGTGAAGCTGACGGAGGACTGGAGTCATGTGAGCATAACGCCCCATCCCCGTCAGCAACCTGGCAGCTCTATTTTGCACAATTGAAGTGTTCAGACCGTCTTCAGGGGAAGCCCCACGTAAAGCGCGTTACAGAAGTCTAGGCGGGAAGTCACCAGCGCGTGTGTCACCGTCGCCAGGCAGTCGTATTCCAGGTAGGGACGCAGCTGATTAATCAGCCGAAGCTGAAGGAAGGCGTTCCTCGCTACCGCTGTCACCTGAGCTTCCAAAGAAAGCTCCGGGTCGAGGAGTACACCTAAGCTGCGGACCTTATCCCTAAGAGGGAGTGTTGCACCATTCAGGACCAGGTCAAATCCACCCTCTCCGAAACCCGATCCGCCAACCAACAGGACCTCCGTCTTGTCTGGGTTGAGTTTCAGTTTATTGGCCCTCATCCATTCCCTTACCTCGGCCAAGCACCGGTTCAGCACAGCCACTGCCTCACCTGGATTAGTGGAGAATGAGAGGTAAAGCTGGGTATCATCAGCGTATTGATGATTCCGCAGCCCACACCTCCTGATGACCTCTCCCAGCAATTTCATATAGATGTTAAACAGCAAAGGGGACAAAATGGAGCCCTGTGGTACCCCATGGCATAGCTGCCATGATGTAGAGACATGGTCCCCCAGCACTACCTTCTGGAATCGACCGTCGAGATAGGAGCGGAACCACTGCAAAGCAGTGCCTCCAACCCCCAATCCCGCAAGTCTATCCAGAAGGATACCATGGTCGATGGTATCGAAAGCCGCCGAGAGGTCCAGAAGAACCAACAGGGATGTACTCCCCCTGTCCTTCTCCCTGCACAGGTCATCGTACAGGGCGACCAAGGCAGATTCAGTACTGTACCCGGGTCTGAAGCCGGACTGAAAAGGATCCAGATAATCAGTTTCATCCAAGAGTGCTTGGAGTTGTCCCGCCACCACTCGCTCCAACACCTTGCCCAGAAACGGGATGTTGGCCACAGGTCTATAGTTAGTGGCCATCTCTGGATCCAGTGACGCCTTCTTCAGGACCGGTCGTATTACCGCCTCCTTTAAAGGGGCAGGCACTCGACCCTCCCTCAGAGAAGCGTTAACCACTTCCAAGATCCAGGTCCCAATCCCGTGCTTGGAGTTATTTATTAACCAAGACGGGCAAGGATCCAATAGGCAAGTGGTGGGACGTACTCGTCCAAGCACCTTGTCCACATCATCGGGCCGCAATATTGAAATTCCTCCAATAATGTTGGACCAGACGGTAGCATTGGTGACTCCTCAGAGACCTCCGAGGCATTAGTGGAGTCCAGCTCGTGATGAATCTGAGCGATTTTCTCCCTGAAATGCCTGGCAAAGTCGTCACAGCGGGCCTTTGAGGGTGGCATCGGATCTTCCTTAGGACCCGGGCGAACCAGGCCTTGCACCACTCGAAAAAGCTCCGCTGGACGGCATTGTGAGGAGGCAATGGAAGCGGAAAAAAACTTCTTTTTTGCCGCCTTCACCGCCACAGCATAGGCCTGATAGTGGGCTCTCAAGTGTGTTCGGTCAGATTCATTCCGTGATTTCCTCCACCTATGCTCTAGCCGTCTCCCAAGCTGCTTCATCGCTCGCAATTCAGGTGTATACCAAGGGGAAGAGCGGGCTCTGCCTGGTGGGAGAGGACGCTTAGGAGTGATCATGTCCACAGCCCTGGTCATCTCTCCGTTCCACAGTTCGACCAGAGCCTCGACAGGAGCACCAGTCTTGTCAGCCGGAAACTCCCCCAGGGCCTTCAGGAATCCATCCAGATCCATCCGGCTCCGGGGGTGGGCCCATACAATCGGGTCCACACTCTTATAGAGGGAGAGGCCGCTCTCGAGCACAAACCTCACCAGGAGGTGATCTGACCATGACAGGGGAGTCAAACATAAGTTCCTCACCCTCAGGTCATCCTCTTCCTGCCCCGTCGTGAATACCAGGTCCAGAGTGTGTCCACGTTCATGGGTCGGGCCGATGACGTGTTGAGACAGCCCCATGGCCATCATGGAGGCCATGAAGTCCTGAGCCGCCCCAGTCAGTCCAGACTCGGCATGGAGATTGAAGTCCCCCAGAACCAACATCCTGGGGGTCCTCAACACCAGGTCCGAGACGGTCTCTGTCAGCTCAGATAGAGAGACTGCTGGGCAGAAAGGTGCACGGTACACCAATAGAATCCCCAATCTGTCTCATTCGCCCAACACCAAGTAGAGGCACTCCAGCCCTGGCCTCAAAGGGACCGGAAGACCCGTGAGAGAGATGGAGGCTCTGTAAACCAACGCGACTCCCCCTCCCCTCCCTTCTGGGCGTGAACAGTGTTGAGCCAGATACCCGGGCGGGCACAATTGGGAGAGGGCAACATCCCCTCCCTCTCCTGCCCAGGTCTCCGTTATGCAAGCCAGGTCGGCCCCCTCATCCACAATCAAGTCATGGATGAGGGAAGATTTATTATTGACCGACCTGGCATTGAGCAGCAGTACCGTCAGACCCAACGGGTGGTTGACAAGGCTACCTGGCGCCTGCGCTGGCCGGTGGAGCTGGCTGCCGTCGACGGCGTGGCCGCGTGCATCTGGCCGCATTCGCTTGCCCGGGAGCGGCGTGCTGCTGGAGGTGGGAGGATGACAAGGTTTCACGATGGCTGGATGGAGGGGCTGCAGTGGATGTGGTTTACCTGGATTTCAGCAAGGCCTTTGACAAAGTGCCCCATGATATCCTGGTGGAGAAACTGAGGAGTTTTGGAATACACCAAAGCACTGTCCGGTGGATTAGGGCATGGTTGAATGACCGAAAGCAGAAGGTAACCATTAGTGGGGAATCATCGGGATGGCTGCCAGTGGCAAGCGGGGTCCCCCAGGGCTCTGTCCTGGGGCTGATCCTGTTTAATCTTTTCATTAACAACATGGACGAAGGGGTGAACAGTCTGCTGATCAAATTCACAGACGACACTAAAATTGGAGCAGTGGCCACAACTGAGGAGCAGCTACTCCAGATCCAAAAGGATCTGGACAGACTATGGAAGTGGGCAGGAGACAACAGGATGGCGTTCAGTGTGGATAAGTGCTTGGTCTTGCACTTGGGGCACAGGAATGGGTGTCATAAGTACAGGTTAGGGGACAAGTGGCTGGAGAGCAGCACTTGTGAAAGGGACCTCAGGGTGCTGGTTGACTGCAGGCTGAACATGAGTCAGCCGTGTGATGCGGTGGTCAAGAGGGCGAACACCACCCTTGGTTGCATAGCCAGAAGCGTGGCTTCTAGATCGAGAGAGGTATTACTACCACTCTATATGACTCTGGTGTGTCCGCAACTGGAGTATTGTGTTCAGTTTTGGGCCCCTCATTACAGGAAGGATATAGCCAGGTTGGAGTCAGTGCAGCGAAGGGCCACAAGGTTGGTGGCCGGTTTGCAGGGGATGGGGTATGAGGCGAGACTGAGGGAACTGGATCTCTTCAGCCTGGAGAAGAGAAGACTCAGAGGGGATATGTTGGCGACATACAGGTATGTGAGGGGGTGTCACATGGAGGTGGGTAGAGACAGAAATATAGAAACAGAGCGAGTCAGAAGGGGCCTCCTGGGCCATCTAGTCTGACCCCCGGCTCCAGCCGGCTCCACTCACAACATGCCCACCATGTGCACGTCCAGCCTGTCCTTGAACACCCACATCGATGGGGCCTCAACAACCTCTCGTGGAAGCCCATTCCACACCCTCGGGGTTCTAACTTCCAGGAAGTGCTTCCTGCATCAAAATGGAACCTGGGTTCCCTGAGCTTTGCTCCGTTGGGGCGCGTCCCGCCTTCCTCTGCAGGGGAGAACAGGTCTAGTGCGCCCACAACTGGAGTATTGTGCTCAGCTCACCAAAGCACCCAGCCAGAGTAAAAGTGGGGGCTCATGAAAGCGGCGGGGAAGCAGGGAGGGGCCCTGGGAACGCGGGAGAGGCAGTGGCAAGGATGCAAGAGCTGCCTGGTGCCCCGTCGCAGACGCTGGACTCCTCATTCCTCAGTCGCCGAGCACAGCCTCCTCCCAGTGGCGTCTCCACAGCGGGCCAGGAAGAGCTCCTGCAGCAAAGTTAGAGTCCGGTCGAAGGCAGGGACCCTCAGAGCTGTTGGGGGCAGGACAGCCCCTTCTCCCCCAAGATGGGTGATGCCAGGCTGCCGGTCTGGGACCCCCTCTCTCCCCTGCCTCCAAGCAATTCATGCCTTTCAAGATCAGGGCGAGGAGAGGGTGGGGGTTAGGGATGTCCTTGGCCCAAACTCCTCTTCGCGATAAACCTGCTGCATGAAATACCTGCTCCCCCCTGGTGCTGGGGCATCCCTCAGTGCTGTCAACAGCAATTCAAGTAGAGCACATCCAGCCCCCCCTGCCCCCCAGGAAATGGTGCTCAGAGAGGGCGGGCTGCAGCGGCGCGCAAGGCGCTTCCAGGAACTGAGGCTCACTTCGAGAGGAACGTGGCTAACCGAGAAGCCATGAGGAGCCTCGGCACACACTGCCTCTTGCTCATCGCTTGTCTTCTAGCCGGTAAGTCTTGCTCGCACCTCTTTCTCAGAGGAAGTTTCGAAGAGAACTACGGCGTGACGACTGGGCGGGGGGCTCCTGGGGGCCATAAGTGCCTTCTCCTGAGGCACAGCCTCAGCACCAGTTGCCCAGTCTGCCTCGGCACCAGTTGCCCAGTCTGTGGTCTGACTAACATTCGGAGTGGTCTGTTTATGACCGCTTTGCCCCTGAGCATGAGGCAGTGCCATTGTTTTGACAGGAAGTGTGCGAGATAAAGAATGCGAGGCAAATTTTCAAACAAACCTCTTAAAAAGTGCGACAAAATCATCTGCGAGAAGAATATTAATGGCTGTTCTCTAGGGGCAGCGAGGAGAAGGAAGGAAGCTGGTTGGCGGCGGCACCTATAACTGCAAGTGTCCGAGGCCCTGCCCTGCCAGGCGCGTACGGGCTGCGGGTCAGACTGTGGTGCCGGGGGACTTGGGGGCCTGCAGTTCCGCATAATGGGCACCAGAAAGCAAACTGGAAGCCCCTCGGCTTTGCTTCGGTCTCCCACGTCCCATCCTCTTAAGAGTAACGCCTGCTTGCCTCGGGCCAAACCCTCTTCAAGCTCCAAGGATCTGGCAGCAGCGGTGGCGAACGGGAGAGACCCTAGTGCTGGTGCCGCCTCTCCTGGCTGGTAAACCTGACCCTGGATTTTTGAAATGCTCTGGCTGATCAGTTTTGTCTAGCTGCAAAAACATGTTGGTCAATATGTGGTCTTCCTAATGATACTCACATCTAGTTAGACCATTTGAAGAAACCCGGAGAAGTTGCTCTTTCTTGTTTGAGCCCCTCCCAGGGAAGGGGTCCATCCAAGGAAGGGCTCAGGGCAGGCAGAATCCTGATGCCCCACAACCTGCTGGAGGTGTCTCCAGTCCCCTCCCGTCTGAGTGCTGAGAGCAAGACGGAGGCCCGTTTCTGAGGTCTTTGGCCCGGTCACAAGAAAAAAGCGAAGGGACCCGAATGACACAATCCTCCAGGGAAGGTCCAGCTGTGCCGGGCTAATTTGGCAGTTTCTCCCATAAACGGGCATCACCCTCCAGGAACTGTAAAATCAGAACCAACAAGCGTTTGGCATTCTCTTCTCAAATGGACGTTATAGATCCTGATTTATTGCACCCTGAGACATTTTATAGGCTCTCCCTCCCTCACACACTCTGTCTATTCCCGTGTTAAGAAAGAGGGTTGATGAGGGGAAGGGGAGGCCCGATTTGGCTGCTTGGTTCAGGGCAGGTGTTCATGTAGCCACGGAAGGTTAGGTTTGGAAGCTCAGGTGACAGCGGTGGCAAGGAGCGCCTTCCTTCAGCTCCGGCTGATTAATCAGCTGCGCCCCTACCTGGAGTTCGACTGCCTGGCGACGGTGACACACGCGCTGGAGACTTCCCGCTTAGACTTCTGTAATGCGCTTTACGTGGGGCTTCCCCTGAAGACGGTCCGAACACTTCAATTGGTGCAAAATAGAGCTGCCAGGTTGCTGACGGGAACGGGGCGTTATGCTCACATGACTCCAGTTCTCCGTCAGCTTCACTGGCTTCCCATTGAAGCCCGGGCCCAATTCAAGGTGTTGATTATGACCTATAAAGCCCTAAACGGCTTGGGTCCTGGCTACCTGAACAAGCGCTTACGTCCGTATATGCCCGACCGCCCTTTGAGATCTGCGGGAACCCTCCATGAAAGAAATTAGGAGAGTAAGTACTCGGAGGAGGGCTTTCTCTGCGGTGGCGCCCAACCTATGGAATTCACTCCCCAAAGAGGTCCGCCTGGCACCGTCGTTACTGGTTTTTCGGCGCCAGGTAAAGACCTTTTTATTTAAACATCATTTTAATTGTTAAAATATACGTTCTGGCCAGGGCAACTTCTTCTTCTTCTTCCTTCTCTTTTCTCCTCCTATATTATTTATTTACTTATTTTATACTGATAATTTTAATTTTATATTATTATGTTTGTAACTCAATGTATTTTTTGTATTTAATGGTAATTTATTATGTTCTATTGTATTTCAATGTATTTTATTGTGTTGTAAGCCGCCCCGAGGCTTCGGCAAGGGGCGGCATAGAAATGTTATAATAATAATAATAACAACAACAACAACAACAGCAACAACAGCAACAACAGGTGGTCTCGGTGGCCCAAGAAGCAGTCAGACCCTGAGCAGCCTCCAGTTCACGGAGACGGGGCAGAGTGCAGGCGGTGTGGCTGCCCAAAATTTGACCCCACTGATAGGGTCTTTGGGGAGTCCCTTGGATGAAAGACTGAGCAATTCACTTGCCCCATCAGCAGGCCAGCAGCTTTTACGGACAGGCTGGGAAGTTTAAGGCTAGAACACCCAGTGCCAGATTTACCTCCCAACGGACCGATGGTCCAGTGGCTCACAAAGATAATGACTGTGTCACCTGTATGTCAATATTATTCTAGAGAAGCTTCTTTGTTCTGTGTGATGCCAATCATGCTAAATCTCGGGTTGCTCTTTTTTCCATGGCCTCATTCAGAATTGTGAAAAACTTATAGCGGATAATGTAGGCGACTGTTTTGGGGAGAGCTGGATGAAGTGGCCTAACTTTGTGCTTTGATCTTTACAGTAAAGTTATTTACTTGAAAACTGTAACTTCAATAATTCTTAAATATAATTATCTCATGGCCTTTATGGCCCACCTTTTTCCTCTTGTGTGGAATCCATAAATAATATGGATTATATGATCAATTACCCCCAACCATAAATAATTTAAATTTTATTAATGTACTTTATTTTTATATACTGCCCCATTCCCATAGGCTCTAGGTGATTTACAAGAAATTATAATCAGCAATGATTGAAATTTGACTAAAGACAAATTAGAACAAAATATAAATAACATGCAGCAAAAATATTCTAGTTTTTAGATTCTGCTTCATGTTGCATTTGTCTGGGTTTGTTTTAGAGAGTTTGTATGTAACTAGTTTGTGGCCCAAGCAAGAATCAACACAATAGCAGCTCCCAGCATCCCTGGCCCTTGGCCCCGCTGACCTGGGCTTGTGTGAAGTCCAGAAGTCCGGCGGGCTTGGGGCAGCAGCCCTGGGAGCTGCAGTGGAGCCCGTGGGGGATGGAGAGGAGGAAGGGGTGTGCTGGCCACGTTTCGGTCCCACAGGAGCCTCGGTGGTTCACTGGATGCTGTTTCCAACTGCATTTGCACCAGCCAAATGCAGTTTTGCGTGGCTTGACTTTGGAATGGCAAGGATGCCATCCTGGGATTGCATAGTCCCTCCTCGGACCTACACACTTCCTGAGTTGAAAACTTAGCCATAAAGCGATAGCTGGAATCCCTAACAGGGCAAAACTTCCATTTGGACCAACCCAAACACCACAGATGTGTGCAAGCTTTCGAGTTCTCCAGAGCTCTCCATTCAGCTACGTAGCAGAAAAAAGGTGCAAAGTCCAGACATTTGACCAGGGTGCAAATCAGAGGGAGGTGCTTTAAAAGGGAAATGCGTGAGCCAGGTGCGCTAGTCGGTGTGGCAGATGGGGCCCGCACTCGACTGTGTGCCCCGCTTCACTGCCGATGACGTTTTTACCTGGAGTGCCCCCTCACACTCACCTCCAGCTTTGCTCGTCGGAGGGGCGCTTTGGTTCCTTGCCGTGCTGCTTGTGCCGCTCGGGACCCCGGCAGGCGGTTGCAGCCTCTCTCCGCACCTCGGAGGCAGAGAACTGCCCTCACTTCCGCTTCCCCGAAGGCCACCGGGCACCTGCCACGAGTGTGTCGTGGGGCTGGTTTCCCTTCCAAGCCCCCCTTCTCTTGTCCCCCGCTGGGCAGCCCTGCGTCCCCTCGTGGCCGACCCCTCATCCCTTCCACAGCTTTGGTCCTGAGGTGGGGGGCGGCCACTCCTCCCTGGGCTCTGCTCATCAGACGACGCGCAGCAGATGAAACGCTTTCGCAGGAGACACGGGATTGCTGACGGCACCAGCACACACGGGGACTGCGTACCAACACTGGGCTACACTGCAGGGCTGGCATAGGCACCCCTCTGCCTCCGTAAAACGAGAACCATGGGGATAAAAGCACTAGGCCGCTTAGCAGGGCTCTCTCCACCGCAGCCCACACTGGTATTGGTGATATAGGTGATCCACAGACATTGTCAGGGTCATTTTTCAATATTTACAAAGTCAGGAAAAACATGATTTGGATCTTACTTCGAAAGATCACAGACTCCTGCTCAGCTTCTCCTTTTGGGGAGGGGCGAGCCACACAGCTGGGCTTCAAGAGGACAGGACGCTTTGCAGCCGCAGGGCAAACTGAGTGAAAGCTTTGCCACAGGAGGGCTGTAAAGCCGGATGCCTGATCCACATGGTAAGGTTTGCTTTGAAGGTATTCATTCACTCAGTCATTTCCATTTCTATGTGGCCCCACAGCCTAAAGGTTCTCTGGGTGACTTACAAAAGCTAAAACAGCATAAAAACAAACATAAAAAACAGTAGAAGAATTGATACTCTGATAAAATAGGTAAAACAATAAAATAATAGATAACATCACATAGTAAAATGTACCCACGCACACCAGTAAGCACAACCCATAAATTATAACGTTTACTTAAATTAAATAATCCATAACAAGATATAAAGTATTAAATCCAAGTAAATTAATCAACCAAGGCCTTCTTTAGATGAAAAAGCTTTCACCCATAACTTGAAAGAAAGAAGAGCAGGCGCCAGGCAGTATCCCTGGGGAGTGGATCCCAGAGTCCCTGCGACTGCTGAGAATGCCCCTTCCCGCGAGGAGCAGGCCTAGTGGCCGGGCGGGAGTCTATGGGGAAGGCGCTGCCTCAGTCCCCTGCTCCCGAGCCGTTTGGGCTGCGCACGGCAACGGTCGGCCTTGGTCACCCAGCGCCAGGGGAAGACACCTGGGGCCTGGCCTGGGAGGACGGGGACCCTGGCGAGGGGGCAGGGTCCCTGCGCAGCACAACAGCCCCCCTGCCTGGCCCTCCAGGCGACGACGCTGGGGAGGCACCGCGCGCCCAGGAGCGTGTGGCTGGGAAGGCGTCCCGCCAGCTCCCAGCGCTGCAGGCCAGGCCCGCACCCTCGTCCACGATTAAATCGTGACTCGTGAGATTTTATCGTGTGCCGACCCAGCGCCGAGCAGCGGCACCGGCTTTCACCCCACTCCCAGTAAACCGTCCCGGGCACACCTCTCCAAAGAGCCACACGAGCCCAGCGCTACATGGGCCTCACGAGTGCTTCCTCTGTCCTTCCACCACAAGGGAAAAGAAAAGGCAAAGGGGGGAAGAAAAGAAGAGGCCGCTAACTCCCCCCACACACAGAGAATCCCCTGCCCCACTGCCCCAACAGCCACCAAATGGGCCCCAAACGGGCAATGCACAGCTAGATAGTCCCGGCTGCAGAGGCCCAGGGGCTGGCTCTCAGCAGCACTGTCCACATAAACCTAACCATTCTTCTGATTGAGCGTGGCCAGCGGGCTCTCCTAGCACATCTTTTTTACCCCTGTCAGTGACAGCAGCCTCCTCCCCCCAGAGAAGACCCCCCCCCTCAAAAAAGAAAGGAAAGGAAAATGGGACTTAGAGGCAGATGTACCTTTTGCAAAAAGTTCCCTCATTAGCTAAAAGGCCTGAGAGGTGGGAGCAGGCACATTTTCCTTCCAGCGCCGGTGCACGGAATACCAGCTGCGCACTTTGCCCTGTACCTTGTGGGGGGCCAGAGCGCCCTCATGTCCCCAGGCTTGGACAGTGTGGAGTGGCTGTCTCCTGAGGCTTCTTTCTTCCCACTTCTTGACCTCACAGAAACCTCCGGGGGAAACATCACGGCAGTCCTGGGAGGCTCTGCAACTTTCCAGGTGGAGACGGCGAAAGAATTTACGCTGATTTCCTGGACTAGGAGCCTTGGAAGAAAAGGAACTGAAATTCTTGCCTATCTGAAACCCAAACCACCGTGTGAGGCCACTATTCTCATCCCAGCGTTTTCCAAGCGAATGAATGTCTCCGCGGACTGCAAGCAGCTGCACATCCACGAGCTCCGTCGAACTGACTCTGGGCTATACACAGCACAAACACAGCTGCAGGGACAGCAAGAACCACTGAGGCAGACCTTCCAGCTGGGGGTTTTCAGTAAGTGCTGCAGCTAGCAGGGGAGGCGGGGGAACCTTCCTCGGGCTCCCCTCCCGCCTCTCCCAGTCCCCATAGGGCCAGCAAGGCCTCCAGAGGGGCGGGCAGGGCAGTGCACCGTTTTCTGGGAGCTTCCGCGGCCTCCACGGGGAGCCTCTGCCCACGGGCCACCACCCCGCTGGCTTGGGCCTGCCAGGAGGGCCACCGCCCGGCACATGCGCGCGGCCCTGGCAGCGGGATCGATGGCGCCCTCTGAGGCGGAGGTGGCTAAAGAGCCCCCCCCCACTCGCTCGTGCGCTGTGGGGCAGGAGGGAAGGAGGCAGAGGCACTGCCAGGGCGCCCCCCCCCCATTCCCTGGCACACCCTCTCCCGGTTGCATTTGCATCTTTCCATGCCACCAGCGAGTCAGGTGCTCCGAGTTTGGAGCTGCGGACTTCCCAGGGTTGGAGCCGAGCCTCGGAACAGCCCTGCGGCTGCCTACATGTGCTGCCCAAGAGAAATCGTGGCAGGTCGGACAAAAAAGCCACGCAATGTCTGGCGTGCTGCCTGGCATACGGCGGGAGCTGCCAGGCGCGTTTGGACAGAAGGTGCATAGCACGGCAGGCATGTCATGAGTGGAGCCGGCTGGAGCCGGGGTCAGACTAGATGGCCGGAAGCCCTTTGGCGAAGCGAGTGGGCGGGGCAGAGACGGAGCAGGAGCTGGAGCCTCTCTGCTCCTGCACTGGGCCCTCCTGTGCAATCGTTCGCTCTCCTGCGCCTTAGTGTGCTCTCTGTATGCTCCCCCCGCCCCCATGCGCAGAGCGTTTGTCGGAGGCTGACTTGCTTCTCCGCTGCGAGGGACACGAGAACAGCACTTGGCTGCTGAGCTGCTCCACGCAGGAGCGGGACGAAGGTGTGGAATTCAGCTGGGCCCCCACCAGCAGCAGTGTTCCCGCCCCTGGGAATCCCCTCCTCATCCGGCACGGGCCACAGGACCCCGATCTGAACGTCACCTGCACCGCACGGAACCCGCTCGGCCCCGCATCCAGGACAGCATCCCTAGCACAGCTTTGCACCGGTAAGTTTTCCTGTGCTCGAAAGAGGCCGTGGAGGGAAGGCTGCACCCCCGCCTGGCTCGGAAGGGCCCACTCTGCCCCGTTCCGCAGCTGATCAGACCAGCGTTGCCTGGGGGTGCAGCTGGGGGGGCCAGGCCAGGAAAACGGGGGATTGGGAAGGTGGGAGCAGCCATGCAGCCGGGGGCTCCGCTGCAACGTGGCCGTGGAGAGGGCTGAGCATGTGCAGGACGCTGTGGGGGGTAGAAACGTGCACAAAGCATTGGAAGGGGTGTGCGGTGCAGAAATGGAGTGCAACTGAACCTCATTGCTGTTGGCATTTCCAAAAACTATTCTGCGTCTTCACATCAAAGGCAAGGCAAAATAGCTCCGCTGGCCCTCTTATTCAGCCCCCTCTCTGACCAATTTGATTTCCCAAGGCAGTTGCTCACACGTGTAGCACTGAGGACTAGAAACATGCACTGTTAAGGGATTGCTCAAAGTGTGCAGGTGCTGAATTCTTAGCCCACTCACATACTGCACTTGTATGAGGTGGGCAGAGAAGACCCCACCCTGACAAGAAATCTGCCTGGCGGGGAGCGGCACTGGGGTCGCCGGAGGAGTTTGGAGCTCTCCGCACGGCTTTGCCTGCCGCCTGCATCCTTCTGACCTGCGCGCTTGCTCTCTGCCCATCAGCTCAAGCTGAGTGCACAACGGCGAGGCCTGTGACGGAGTCTGCCTGGGAGAATGGTGAGCCCCAGCCCGTTCGTCTTGTTTGTCCCCCTGCCTTGTGCCTCGTGCCCAGAGGCACCGGCTGCGGAGCAGGGGAGGCGGCGCACAGCCGGGCGAGGCGCGTGCCGCGGGCCCCCCTCGCCTGCAGGAGGGCCGGAGGAGGGCGGGAGGGCCAGTTCCTGGGCCCACGTGTCGGGCGGGAGGCGTGTTCCCTTCCCAAGCTCGGTGGCGTGTCGCACGTGAGCCTCCGCGAAAGTGTCCCTGGCCACCATTCCACCCTGATCCCGCGGGGTGGGGCGGGAAGAGGGGGTGTGACAACGAGCCTCGTGATGCGGGGTGGCGGGGGGTGGCGGCCCCATGAGGGACTTCCTCCACAGCACAACGCTGCTGACCAAGGCGGCCCGTGGGCCAAAGACCATCCGAGGGGCCCCAGTGGGCCTCGCCACGGTCACCCCGCCGGCCTTCTGCTCCCTCGGGAGCCGGCGCACCGCTGCGCTCCAGCAGGCTGCCCCACTGCGCCGCGCACACGCTCAGATGGGGCAGGCTGGGAAGGGCCAGCCGGCCTTCCAAGGAGCAGCGCCCGCAGGCTCCCGAGAACCCTGCGTCTTGTGGGAGGCTCTGTCCGGTTCGCTCGTTTCATGCACCTTCCTTTGAGCCTCAGACCGAGAGAAAGTGGGGCAGGTACATCTGAAGATGAAATTCTTCTGCGATGCTGTTGCTCCTGTGTGCCTTTAAGCCATCTCCAATTTGTGGCAGCCCAATGATGGATCACTGCCTTGTGGTGGCGAAGGGGCTTGCGTAGCTCAATGAAGCTGAGATATGCCATGCAGGGCCCCCCAAGACGGACAGGCCATAGCAGAGAGCTCTGACAAACCTGATCCACTGGAGAAGGAAATGGCAACCCACTCTGGTATCTTTGCCATGAAAACCCCATGGACAGTACCAAAAGGCAAAAAGGTATGACGCCGGAAGATGAGCCCCTCAGGTGGGAAGGTATCCAATATGCTCCTGGGGAAGAGCAGAGGGCTAGTACTAGTAGCGCCAGAAAGAATGAAGCGACTGGGTCAAAGCCGAAAGGACACTCAATTGCCGATGTATCTGGTGGTGAAAGGAGAGTCCAGTGCTGCAAAGATCTATACTCCATAGGAACCTGGGATGTAAGATCCATGAATCAAGGCAAGCTGGACGTGGTCAAACAAGTGATGACAAGACTGAACATCAACATCTTAGGAATCAGTGAACTAAAATGGACAGGAATGGGTGAATTTAATTCAGATGACCATCAGGTATGCTACTGCAGGCAAGAATTCCTCAGAAGAAATGGAGTAGCCTTCATAGTCAATAAAAGAGTAGGAAAAGCAGTCCTGGGATACAGTCTCCAAAATTACAGAATGATCTCAGTTCGAATCCAAGGCAAACCATTCAACATCAAAGGAGTCCAAGTCTCTGCCCCAACCACTGGTGCTGAAGAGGCTGAAGTTGACTGGTTCTATGAAGGCCTACAACACCTTCTAGAATTAACACCAAAAGATGATGTCCATATCATCATGGTGGATTGGAATGCTAAAGCAGGAAGCCAAAAGATGACTGGAATGACAGGAAAGTTTGGCCTGGGAGTACAAAATGAAGCAGGGCACAGGCTGGCAGAATTTTATCAAGAGAACACAATGGTCATAGCAAACACTCTTTTCCAACAACCCAAGAGACAATTCTACACATGGACATCACCAGACGGTCAACATAGAAATCAGATTGACTATGTGCTCTGCAGCCAAGGATGGAGACGCTCTGTACCATGGGTCCTCAAAGCCCCTTGAGATCAGCGGGAGAGGCCCTTCTCCGGGAACCTTCCGTGAAGGAAATTAGGAGGGTAGGTACTCGGAGGATGGCTTTCTCTGCGCTGGCGCCCAATCTATGGAATGCGCTCCCCAGAGAGGTCCGCCTGGCGCCGTTGTTATTTGTTTTTCGGTGCCAGGCAAAGACCTTTTTATTTAAACATCATTTTAATTGCTAATATTATTTGCTTATTTCATCTGGCCAGGGCGACTTATTTTATATTGTTAATTTGTTGTATGTATTATATTTTAATTTTATGTTGTGAGCCGCCCCGAGGCTTTGGCGAATGGGGCGGCATAGAAATGTTTTAATAAATCAAATAAATAAATAAATAAAGTACGGCCCATGGGCTGGATCCGGCCCGCCATGCCCATTTAATTGGCCCACCCCAGAGGTTTTGCACTCTCTGCGTGTACGTGTGCTGCTTGCTTGCGCAGAGATCAGTTTGGATTTGCTCAGAGAAAATGATCTCTTCGCGAGCAAGCCGGTGCCTTGCCTTGTGTGTGCACGGTGGCAGCTTGCTCACGGGGAGATCGTTTTGGACTCACTCAGAGAAAGCTATCTTCACTCGAGCAAGCGGCTGCCTCGCCCTGCCCCACGCAAGCGCACCCCCCCCCCCAGCTGGCACCGCCCTGGCAGCCTGCACCCACCGCCAGCGCCTTCCGACTGGCCCCCTGATGGAAAAGTTCGAGGACCCCTGCTCTGTACAGTCAGTACAAACCAGACCAGGAGCTGACTGTGGCTCAGATCATGAGCTTCTTGTTGCAAAATTTAGGCTTAAGTTGAAGAAAGTAGGGGAAAGCACTAGGCCACTCAGGTAGGAGTCTGAGCAACAACAAAGCTAGTGGAGGAGACAGTATTCCAGCTGAGCTATTCAGAGTACTTAGAGAGTTGACCGGGGTTCTCTCACGCCTGCTGGCCTCCATTTTAGAGACCTCGTAGAGAACAGGTGAAGTTCCAGAGGACTGGAGGGGGGCATCAGTGGTCCCAATTTTCCAAAAGGGTAGTGGAAGGGACATGGGGAATTACAGACCGGTTAGCCTTACGTCCATTGCAGGAAAAACAATGGAAAGGTTCATAATAGAGAGAGATCTAGTGATGCTAGATAGGGAAGGGAGGCTGGCAGCCACACAACACGGTTTCTGCAAAAGCAGGTCATGCCAGGCAAACCTTGTGGAATTCTACGACAAGGTTTCGAAATGGCTAGATGGAGGGGATGCAGTGGGTGTGGTTTACCTGGATTTCAGCAAGGCCTTTGACAAAGTGCCCCATGATATCCTGGTGGAGAAACTGAGGAGTTCTGGGATACACCAAAGCACTGTCCGATGGATTAGGGCATGGTTGACTGACCGAAAGCAGAGGGTAAGCATTAGTGGGGAATCATCGGGATGGCGGCCAGTGACAAGCGGGGTCCCCCAGGGCTCTGTCCTGGGGCCGATCCTGTTTAATCTTTTCATTAACGACATGGAAGAAGGGGTGAACAGTCTGCTGATCAAATTCGCAGACGACACTAAAACTGGAGCAGTGGCCACAACTGAGGAGCAGGTACTCCAGATCCAAAAGGATCTGGACAGACTATGGAAGTGGGCAGGAGACAACAGGATGGCGTTCAGTGTGGATAAGTGCAAGGTCTTGCACTTGGGGCACAGGAATGGGTGTCATAAGTACAGGTTAGGGGACAAGTGGCTGGAAAGCAGCACTTGTGAAAGGGACCTCTGGGTGCTGGTTGACTGCAGGCTAGATATGAGCCAGCCGTGTGATGCGGTGGTCAAGAGGGCGAACACCACCCTTGGTTGCATAGCAGAAGTGTGGCTTCTAGATCGAGAGAGGTATTACTACCACTCTACACGACTCTGGTGCACCCGCAATTGGAGTATTGTGTTCAGTTTTGGGCCCCTCATTACAGAAAGACTATAGCCAGGTTGGAGTCAGTGCAGCGTAGGGCCACAAGGTTGGTGGCCAGTTTGCAGGGGATGCCGTATGAGGCAAGACTGAGGGAACTGGGTCTCTTCAGCCTGGAGAAGAGGAGACTCAGAGGGGATATGTTGGCGACATACAGGTATGTGAGGGGGTGTCACATGGAGATGGGTAGAGACCTGTTCTCCCCTGCAGAGGAAGGCAGAACGTGCTCCAACGGAGCAAAGCTCAGGGAGCCAAGGTTCCATTTGGATGCCAGGAAGCACTTCCTGACAGTTAGGACCCCGAGGGTGTGGAATGGGCTTCCCCAGGAGGTCGTTGAGGCCCCATCGGTGCGGGTGTTCAAGGATGGGCTAGACGTCCACATGGTGGGCATGTCGTGAGCGGAGCCGTCTGGTGCCAGAGGTCAGACTAGATGGCCCGGGAGGCCACTTCTGACTCGCTCTGTTTCTATGTTTCTATTCAAAATCCTAAAAGACGATGCAGTAAAAGTGCTACACTCCATATGCCAGCAAATTTGGAAAACTCAGCAGTGGCCACAGGATTGGAAAAGGTCAGTTTACATTCCCATCCCAAAGAAGGGCAATGCCAAGGAATGTTCAAACTACCGCACCATTGCACTCATTTCACATGCTAGCAAAGTTATGCTCAAAACCCTACAAGCTAGGCTTCAGCAGTATGTGGACCGAGAACTACCAGAAGTACAGGCAGGATTTTGAAGAGGGAGAGGAACTAGAGATCAAATTGCCAACATACGCTGGATCATGGAGAAAGCTAGGGAGTTCCAGAAAAACATCTACTTCTGCTTCATTGACTATGCTAAAGCCTTTGATTGTGTGGATCACAGCAAATTGTGGCAAGTTCTTAAAGAGATGGGAGTTTGCCCTTGTTTGCCTTCCTGTTTGACCAGGGAACTCACAAAGCTGTCCCCAGCACCACGACTTTCTTCCCGTCAGCTTTCCTCATGCCCATGCACAGAAATCAGGAAAATGAGAGCCTGGATGCTCTTGGCCTTGGTCTCCAGTGAAACATTCTCTTTTCTACTTCCTTCCTTGCTGCCCTTCCAAGTCCCGTTCGAACTTCTGGGCTGCAGCCTCCCTTTGAAGGGAGGACTGAGCCAAGGCATGCAAGATCGTTCACAATTCAAATTTCTTCATTGTTGACTGTAAAGTTCTGTCATGCTTCCGTAGCCATGATGTTTGTTTGTTTAATGTTCAGCTGCAGTCCTGCTTTTGCACTCCCTCTTTCACTTTGATCTGGAGTCATCCCTGCGAGTAAGATGGCATCGTCTGCGTGTCCTCAATTATTGACATGTCTTTCAATTTCCCTCCTTCCTCGGATTCGAATCCAGCTTTTCTTATAATACGTTCCGCGAACAGATCGAACAAGGAAAAGTGCACCCACCCGTGTCTGATGCCTTTGCCTGTGTGGGACCCCTCGCTCTCTCCACAGGCTTTGCCCTCGCTGTGGCGCCTGTGGCCCGCGATCTCTTTCGGGACCACCCGTGGCTTCTCGTGATCCACACAGCCAGAGGCTTTGCTGCAGTCCGCAAAGCAGAGACCGCTCTTCTTCCGAAACGCTTCGGTGTCTGCGCGTCCAACCTGCCTTGCCTGGGGTTCTGAGTGCCCCTTCCTCTCCAGAATCCAGCTTGGATGCCCGGCGTCTCCTGCTCCAGGCAGGGGGAACCTCTTTGCTGCGGCACCGTGAATGTCGCTTTGCTCGCGCAGGAAGTTAGTGCAATGGCTGCTGCGCTCTTTTGCCTCTCCTTTCCCGGGACTGGAAAGGATACGGCTTGTTTCCACTCTGCGGGCCCGTTTTGTTTCTATATTTGTTGGCGACCTCGCGAGGGGATCTGGGTGGATTCAGTCTGCAGGAACGAGTGCCCTCCAGAATGGCCCGGCCGGCGCAGCTGCTCGGCTCTTGTAAATGCATGGTTGAGCTCCCTTTCTGGAGTCCTTCCATCTCCGATTTGGCCTTTCCTTCTCGTGCTTCGCAGGGCTCTCAGTGCAAGGAGGACTCGGAGTGGGTTGCCACTGATCTCCCTGCCCCGAGGGCCACAGAGTGCTTGAGCGTCCCTTCTGTTGTCGTTCTGCGAAGGATCCTCTCCCCCGCCCCCATTAGAGAGATCCATTCTCTTCTGCGGGTGTGCCCGTTCCCCCTGAAGAGGGGGTGCATCCAGCCCGGCGGGGCCCCCGCTTTGCCCGTTCCACCTTGGGGTCCCTGCAAGGACCCTGGCCCGGGGAGGGAGCCTGGCCTCCTGGCAGCATGGCCCTCGCCTTCTCTCACGCTCCCAGAGCCCCTCGCCACGTTCAGGTGTGTACCCAGAAGGGGCCTTCCTGAAATACTGGGTGAGACCCCATCGTTGGGCGTGACATTTTATGAGCTCAGTTATTTGTGCCATAATGTATGGACATTCTGGAGCTGTTGGCAATATGTTTGGCTTATGTTTATTGTGTGTGTCTTTGGGTGCACTTGTTGTGTTTTATGGGTCTATGAGATCCAATAATACGCTGATAGAACAAAGTGGCGCAGCAGGGAGAGGGCTGGTGCGCTGCAGTTCGGACGCATGTTTCACGAGCTGCGTCCTCCAGAGCAGTGGCGTGTGCCCTGGGCCGATGCTCGCCTTCTGTGTCTGCACGTCCACCTGGTGTGTTTGCGCAGCTTCATCTGCTTGCTGTGGTAAAGGCAGCTTGCCTGTAATCCGAAACGTGTTTGTGAACAAACTAGAGGGAGTGCAGGGAGAAGAGTCTCATCCCATCCATTTTATCTGCCTGGGAACTCACAGAAGTGTAGAGTTGGAAGGGGCCAGCAGGCCATCGGGTCCAACCCCCTCCTGGTGCAGGACGCTGGTTTGCACCACCCCACTCAGAGGGCTGCCCAGGTTCTTTCTGAATGCCTCCAGTGCGGGAGAGCCCCCCACCTCTCCAGGCGGCTGGTCCCACTGCCATATTGCCCTGACAGTGAGGAAGCTTTTCCTGATGTCCAGCCTGAACCTGGGTTGTTGCAACTTGACTTGATTACTCCGTGTCCTACACTCTGGTATCCGCAAGAAGAGATCTTGGCCCTCCTCTTTGTGGCAGCCTTTGAGGTCCTTAGAGAGGGATATCATACCTTCTCTTCTCAAGGCTGTTCTCTTCTCAGCCTTCTCTTCTCAAGGCTGAGCATGCCCAGTTCCCTCAGTCTCTCCTCACAGGGCAGTGCTTCCAAACCCTGGATTGTGGCCAAGGAGGAAATGAGTGGACATTTGAGGCAGCGGCTCCAGGATAATTAGGCGGTCCTGCTGTACTTGGGAGCCAGTTTGGGTTCCTCCCATTTCAAGGGCTCAGAAGTCTGGTTCCGGGGCCCCTCCTCCTCTGGCACATCCAAATCTGCCTGATCTTGGAACATGTGCCAAGAATAACTGCTCCTTTCACTCCCAACACCAAAGTTGGGATTCACCTGGAAGAGAAGCCCAGCAGCTGGCCAAAGGGAAGTGGCGCTCTTCCTTCTCTTCTGCTCCTCTTCCCTTCGACACTTAGCGTTGCAAGAGGAAATGGAAGGGCTGCAGGGCTGCTCTTGCTTGGAGTGGGACGTGGATCCGCAGCGCATGCTTGGAATGATGGCCTGGGCCAGCTGCACATTCAGGGCAGTCCTGTTTTAGGCCTGGTTTTGGAACGGAGGCTGCCTTGGTCGCCCTGTGGGATGACCTTTGCCAGGAGACAGATGGGGAGTGTGACCCTGTCGGCTCTCTTGGACCTCTCGGTGGCTTTCAGAAGACGCATCAACCATGGACATAGGCCAGCTGGACTGGGAGGAGGAGCAGGTTCTGCTTCCACCTGGCTGACTCCCGAAGGTGGTGCTGGGGGATTGTTGCTCTGTGCCTTGCAGCGCCACAGGGCTCCATGGGCTGAGGTGTCACCAATACGCAGCTGACATTCTGCTTTGCCTTCCTTTTCACCACAGCCAGGTGAGGCAGTGGCTGCCCTTAACTGTGCCTGGGCTCAGCAAAGGGCTGGATGCGGGCCAACACGCTAAGACTCAGTCCAGACCCAACAGAGACGCTGTTGGTGGGTGAACTCCCTGTCCAGTTGGGAAACCTTTGCCCTGTCCTGGACAGGACTGCGCTTCCCTTCAAGGACACGGCGTGCAGCTTGGGGGTGCCCTCCAACCCAGGATTTCCACTCGAGTTACAAGTGGCCCAGAGCACCTTAGGCTGATTCACCAACAGCAAACCGCTCTGAACTGGCAGAGCCGGCCAGTTATGCAGTCTCTGGCACCTCTCCTCTGGGTCCGGGTAGCACCAGAGCTGCTTTCGCGGGGCTGCCTTTGAAGACGGTCGGGAGACTTCAGCTGGCCCAGAACAGGGCTGCCTGGCTGAGAACAGGAACTGGAAAGTGCGCCCAGTCCTTCACCGGCTGCCAGGTGAAGTCCGGGCCCAAGTCAAAGTGCTGGCACTAATATGTAAAGCCCTAAAGGGCTTGGGGCCAGGTTACCTAAGGGAGCGCCTTTCTCGTATGTTTCTCCCTGGCCTTTAAGCTCTTCACCGGAGCTCCTTCTCAAGGAGCCATCACTAAAAGAAGGGCGGGGGTAGGAGAAGGGCCTTCTCAGTAGTTGCACCCCACCCACCTGTGGAAGGTGCTCCCCAGGGAGCTCCACCTGGCGCCATCCTTGGTCTTCTTCTGGCACCCAGTTAAAGACCTTTTATCCACAAGGCATCTTAATGACGAACCATTGCGAGGTTTTAATATCATTTTTATTGATGCTTGCTTATTGTTGATTGTTGTTAAGCTGCTACTGTGCTCTAATTGTAGTATTTGTGTTGCAGCCTTGTTGAGTTGCTGTCCCTTGCATCTGATTTCTATTGTTTCTGCTGGTTATGCACATTATTTATTCTGTTTTGTATTGAACGCTGCCCAGAGAGCCCGATGGGCGATGGGGGGGGGGGTAATCAATATAATAATAATGGGGGGAAGGAATCGTGCTGGAGGCTGTGGGGCGTGGAGGTGCTTCCCCCGCCCCCAGGAGACAGCAGGACCCAGCCGCCTGACTTTGCTTCCTCTCGAGAAAGCGTGATCTTGCGAGACCACCCCACCCACACACTGCCTTGCCAGGCCCCAAACTGGGGTTGGGCAGGTGGTTTCTCGCAGGCCTGTCCCACCGATTTTTCCCTCTCCTTACTCTTTGGTGACTAATGCTTGTTGCTTTTTTTCAGGAGGCGGGAATGGCGAAACCACACGGGCTTGGGTTGTAGTAGTGACAATTACATTTGGGCTTGTACTCGTTGCCCTTCTACTCGCTGTTTTTTGGAAAAAAAGAGGTACGAAGCATTATTAAGAACCGCAAGTTCTTTCGAAAAATTGTCCACGGAAACTGCATTGTGCTAAGAGGCTGTCTCTTCCTGCCCACCACATCCAGAAAGGAGAAGGGACTGGCCAGAACGGTGGCGGGAAGGGCGCTCCCGCCTTGCGCAGAAGGTGGGCTGCCGCAGGCACAGGTGGTCACACGCCGCCCGCCACTGCTCCCTCGCCCTCCCTCCCTCAGCTGCCCCTTTTGTCAGAATGGAGGGGGCAAGTTCCGCTGGCTCAGCCCTCCAGTTTTGCTCGCATTGGCCTTTCTGGTTGCCACTTCATGGAACTTTGATAGTTCCAGCAACACGTTTTGCAAAGCACTAAACCTGGATATGGAACAAGCGTGCTGGGCACAAGTGGGAGTCTCTGGAGTGTCAGACACGGAGGGGTCCCTGCCCCCACCACACTCGGTGGCCCTCCCCTTGCAGCCTCTGGCACCTGGTGGCCAGTCCCCAAGAAGGACCGCTGCCGTGGGCCAGGAGGGTGCCTGGCAGGCTCAGCCGAAGGCAGCATCGGATGTCCCGGGCCTGCTGAGCAAGCTCGCTCACTAAGGCCTTTGTCCTGCCTTGGGCCTCATTTGGGAAACTGGGCTGGGGGGGTGATCTCCAAGCATGACCTTCCGCTCGTCACTGCCCCGTTTTCCCCCTGCTTCTTCTGCCCCTCTCCTTGCCCCCCCCCCCAAAACACGCATAAGGAAAAAAGAACCAAGGCGGCACGAGGCGGGAGGTCATTGACCGAGAAGAAAGGAGGAGTCCGTGCGGGGGGCAGTGCTGCCTGGAGCATCCCGGGATCCAAGTGGGTTGCAGGCCTGCCATCTCCCTGAAGGCCGGGCTGGATGGAAAGATCACCAGACTGAAATCTCACCTGTGACTGAAAGAAGGCAGCTCCCACGTGGGAACAAACAGGACAGCCCAAGGGAGCCACAAAGAAATCATGCCAGGCGCCCGAAGTGCTGGGAAGGGAACTCCAGAACTTCGGGGCCCAGGGAGTTTCCCATGCATCCTCCCAGTGCTTGGAGGAGGAGGAGGAAGGAAAAGGAAAGGACCCCAGGCGAATGACTGGCTATGAAGGTGGGACTGGACTCTGGGAAGGTGGAGTGCTGCCCGGGGCGGGCCGTGCCGTGCCGTGCCTTGCAGGGGTTGGGAAGGGGCGCTCAAGCACAGCATGCAGCTTTTTATCGGGGGGGGGCTGGAAACTGAGTGCCACGGCGGGTGAACTTGGAGGCGACGACGGACGATGGCTTACGCACTGCACCACAGTGGAGCGCTCCAGCTGGGCCCCCAGACATCTTCACAGCACTGCAGGAAAGACGCCAGAACCTAGCAGCACGTGGGTTTCAGTGTCTCTGCAGGAACGCCCAGAAACGGGAAACCAGCGGGATGAACCTGGACTAGTAACACACGAAGGTGAATACGACTTGATGGCATCCCTGCAACTGGTGGGTCGCCTCCCATGAGTTGAGTACGGCGACAGAAGGAGATGGCGGAATATGGAAGGGAAGGGGCGGAGTTGCATTATAGGATAAAGAAATGCATCTCTGCACAGAATTACAGGACGCAGTTCAGTGCGGAGGGCCAGTGGATAGCAGAGGGGCTGAGTTCCTGCTTTGGCTCAGCCTTTTCCCAAAAGCAGGTCTGTGACCCCCTGGCAAAAATGAAGTACAGTCTGAAGGGTCAGGACTGCAGGTAGAGATCAATAAACAAATGTTCAAGGAGCAGCTCATTTCTTTGAATGAGTTCAGATCTGGAGGGCCTGATGAGCTGCATCCTAGAGGAAAAAAGGAACTAGTGGAAGAACTCTCGGAACTGCTCTCTGTCGTCTTTGAGAAATACTGGAGGACAGTGAAGTGCCAGAGGACTGCAGGGGGGCTCATGTTGCTCCCGCCTTCAAAAAGGAGGAAAGGAGGAACCTGGGAGCTGCAGATCAGTCAGTCTGACAACTTCCCTAGAAAAATTCTCAAGCAAATGCTAAAACAAACAGACTGCAAGCACCTTGAAGACCGTGCAGTAATTACTAGTGGCCAGCATGGATTTACCAAAAATAAATCCTGTTTGTCTAACTTAATCTCATTTTTTGACTGGGTAACCTCCCGAATGGACCAAGGGAACACTGTGGACATAATCTACCTAGAGTTTCGATGTAGTGCCCCAGGACATTCTGATACGCAAATTAGCAAAACATGGACTAGACAGAAAAGCTGTTGGGAGGATGCAAAACTGGCTGCCAAGGCAGACACACAGAGGTACCTAGCGGCGTGCCACAAGGCTCAGTCCTGGGCCCAGCGCGCTTCAACATCTTCATTAACGACCTGGATGCAGAGAACGCTGCTCGGATTTGCAGAAGGCACAGCTCACGCCCTGGGAGGCAGCACCAAGTTGGAGTGTGCTGGCCGGAGCTGGCAGCTCTGAGTCATGACTGCCCCATCACGGCCGGCGGTCAGAAGAGGAAGAGGGCTGCCCCACTCGGGAAGCCCACCGCTGGCCAGCAGCAGGGGCACATGCCAGTTCTCCACCTAGGAAAGAAGCCAAGGCAGTTGCAAGACAACACTGCAAGCAGGGCGTTTCTTGGAAGCGGCAAAAGAAGGCGAATGCTGTTTCGGGCCGCATTTATCGAAGGTCAGCTCCTGAAGCACGTGCGGTGCTGGTTCCCCTCTATTTGGCACTAGTTAGGCCCCATCTGGAGAACTGCGTTCCTTTCCGGGCACCACATTCAAGGAAGAGGCAGACCAATTGGAAGAAGTCCAGAGGAGGGCAACAAGGATGATCGGGCTGGACACAAAGATGTGTTTGGAGAGACTGAAACAGCTGGAGAGATTTAGCCCTGAGAAGATTGAAACATAGCGACAGAGACAGTCGGAAGGGGTCTCCCGGGCCATCTAGTCTGACCCCCGGCTCCAGCTGGCTCCGCTCATGAAATATTGAGCGCAGATTTGATAGCACTCTTCAAATACCGGAAAGGCTGTCGCACAGGGGAGGGCCAAGGTCTCTTCTCCATCATGCCAGAATGAAGTTGCAGGAAGCCACATTCCGGCTATCAGGAAAAATTCCCTAAGTGTTAGAACAGTCTGGCAATGAAACTAATGACCTAGGGAGGTTGTGGGCTCTCCCCACCAGAGGCACTCAAGCTTTCTGAGGACAGGAGCCTTGCCCTGAGCAGGGGGTTGGATCCGATGGCCTTCCAGCCCCTTCCGACTCTACTACTTGGTGATCCTGTGCCCATAAATGTTTCTCAAAAATGGATTTTAGTGCACAGACTGCACTCCTGATGAACACGGGAGCAGAAATGCGCCCTTTGCTGCCACGGTGACTGCGGGCTGCACACTACACACCAGAGGCTGAACAAGTGAGGGGCCTCGGGAGGAGGGTCCTGAAGGAAACGAGGCCACTTGCTCTGCAGGCTCTGGGGCGGTCGTTCAAGGCGCAAGGCAGAAGGCCGGGCCAGCCAGCCGTGCTGGGCCAGGCACGTCCCGCAGGCAGCCCGGGATTTCCACATCCTCCTGCTGACCCAGCCCATCACATGACGGGAGAACCCGTGGCTGGAGTCACACGGCCAGCATTCGGCTGAGCGGGGCAGCCCAGGAGGCAGCGGAGGCTTCCTCTTCTGCCCACCGCACCGTGACAGAGAGTCGCCGCCAGGGCCCGCTCCTGTGCTTTGCCCTGCTGCCCATGTGACCCTGCCACAAAGAGCTCTGCTCTTTGGACAGGCCATGGAAGCGGGCCGGGGACAACAGGATGGCATTCAGTGTGGATACATGCAGGGCACTTGGGGCACAGGGATGGGTGTCAGAAGTACAGGCTAGGGGACAAGTGGCTGGAGAGCAGCGCTTGCAAAAGGGACCTCGGGGTGCTGGTTGACTGCAGGCTGAACATGAGTCAGCCGTGTCATGCGGTGATCAAGAGGGCGAACACCACCCTTGGTTGCATAGCAGAAGTGTGGCTTCTAGATCGAGAGAGGTATTACTGCCACTCTGTACGACTCTGGTGCGCCCGAATTGGAGTATTGTGTTCACTTTTGGGCCCCTCATTACAGGAAGGATATAGCCAGGTTGGAGTCAGTGCAGCGTAGGGCCACAAGGATGGTGGCCGGTTTGCAGGGGATGCCGTATGCGGCGAGACTGAGGGAATTGGGACTTTTCAGCCTGGAGGAGACTCAGAGGGGATCTGTTGGCGACATACAGGTATGTGAGGGGATGTCACACGGAGGTGGGGAGAGACCTGTTCTCCCCTGCAGAGAAGGACAGGACGCACTCCCAATGGAGTGAAGCTCAGGGAACCAAGGTTCAGTTTAGATGCCAGGAAGTCCTTCCTGACAGGTAGGACCCCGAGGGCATGGAAGGGGCTTCCACAAGAGGTCACTGAGGCCCCACCAGTGAGGATGTTCAAAGATAGGCTGGACATGCTCATGGTACGCATTTTGTGAGTGGAGCTGGCTAGAGCTGGGGGGTCAGACTAGATGGCCCAGGAGGTCCCATCTGGCTCGCGCTGTTTCTCTGTTCCTATGCTTGCGGATTTCTGCTGAACAAGCTGCTGCCCAAAGATATATGACCGGTTTTTCCCGGTCATTCAGCAACCTCACAAAGGCTTGCAGCAAACACCAAGCGGTTGTGGGTCCATCATTGGTTGCATTTTTCCTGCTTCAAAAACAGCCTCAAAACAGTCTGTGTGAAAAGCGGAGAGGAAGTGAGAGTTGAGACACCCTTGCTCAGGCCTCGTTTTCTGTTTTGTTTCTGCTTCCCACAGGGTTCCTCCGGAAGCGGACGGGTTTTGCCACCCCCTCAGGTAACTACCCCCACTTCACTCGTCCCCCGCCCCGGGAGGGCAGAGAGGCCCCAAGCGCAGCCGGAACTGCAGAGTGGGGGCCTGCAGGCGAGGGTTACAGCCGCCAGTTCCTGAGTTCAAGGGATGGGGTGAGGTGGGGGGGGGCGCCACCAGAAGGGTGGGGTGTACCAAGGCAGAGGTTTATACAGTCACACCTGGTTGTGAGGGAGAAATGCACCAAGACGTTTTTCTTCCTCTCTCCCAATGCTGGAACCCAGCCGAGGTGCAGGATCCTGACAGAAAGACAAAGGAACGCACTCCGCCACCTGGCCGCCCGCTGCCCCCGAGTCCCCGCAGTGATGCCACCTCCTCTGGTGGCTGGAAAGGGGCACAGTCACGGCCTGCACGTCATGAGGGCCACCATGAGAGGGGGGTGCTGCCTCCATGCTGAGGCAGTTTGCGCCTCAGTACAAGTTTGGGGGGGGGGCGCTAAATGATGTTTGCAGGGGGTCTGCTATCTTCCCATCCTGCTTCTGGGCCGTCTGCTGCGTTGCTCTGCACGAGGCCATCGATCCGCTGTGTCCACTTTCAGTGTCACGGAAGAACTGAGAGGCAAGCGCTATGCATGCCTTTCCTGCTCTTCCACTGCAAAACCTCTGGGTCAGGGGTCTCGAACTCGCGGCCCGCGGGCCAATTGCCGGGACGGGTGGGGCACGGGCGAGGGGCCCTGTGGCCTTCAAAGTGCCAGCGGCGCCCGGGCCGGCCGCGGGATGAGTGGCCCACCACCACCGCGGTGGTGGAATACTTGATGCGGCCCAGCCTCACCCAGACTCTACTTCCAGCGGCCCCCAGGCCAGTTGAGTTTGAGACCCCTGCTCTAGGTGGTACTGAAGTGCGGCAGAATAGTGCAAACTCCTCTTCTCCCCACAGGACAAGTGGCATCTGCCCGGATTCTCTTTCTGGCAGACAACTAAAGGTTCAGGTCCCTGACCAGTCCCTTTGCATCCCAGGTTCTTCTGGGGCCAACACCCCACCTTCCCTTTATGGGATCCAGATGCCATTGTCTTCTACTCATGGCCTCCCGCCTTTTCCTACAGCTTCTTCCATCTCTTTCCTAACACAGAAAACCTGTTAAGGAGAAAAAGGTGGAGCAGCCATGTGATTTCTCCATTGCTGGGCCTCCCATCTGGAAGTGACCTGGCAGGGGAACTGGGGGGGGGGGGGGGGGGGGGGGGGGGTGAGGGCAGGGGGCTACTTGCCCCTTGCAGCTTTTGTTCTGAGTGTTGCAGGAGGTGCCCGCAGCACTCCATGAGAGTGAACCTGTTTGGGGGTTGAGGTGAGCCCATGGAGAGCACCTGTAATGCCCAGAATAAATGCTGCAGTGGATAAGCAGCCCCACTGACCTAGAGCTACCCCCTGCACCTCCCGTCCGGGCAGGACCAGGTCATGCAAGCCAGAGCTGCTTCTCAGATTCAGTCCTCTTCCATGGGGCATTTGGCAGTGGCCGCCACACACCCTTTTTTCTTCAGGCGTTGATCCCCCATCCACAGAGTGATTCAGCAGCACCATGATCAGTAGTTAAAATTGTCCCTGGTTACTTGGCAGGTGCCTGATGCTGCAGATCCGAGGAGGCTTCCACACCCTCCTCTTCCTCCCTCAGTGCCCTTCCGGGAGCTGGCTGCGAGTTCTTGTTGGCTTCTGGGCACAGGACGGTGTCGCACGCACGCACGCACGCTTGCACTCTTCCCAGGCCACTGCCCAGAGTGTGCCCCTCTTCTTCCTCCTCAGTGCCAAAGGCCCCCAGGCTCTGGGCGCGGAGTCCTGCTGGCAGCTGCCACTGTGCGGGGGGGGGGGGTCGTGCTGCCAGGCCACAGCGGGTGCACTGCTTTAGGTGCGCCTGGCACTTTGAGTGTTGCGAGCTAGTCCAGGCTCCAGTCACTGCTGAGCTGGCCCTGACTCAGTGGTGAGGCCGCACCCTAGCCTTCCTCTCGAGGGGCAGGTAAGGCGGGGGCAGAGGAGGCAGAAGCACGGTTGCCTTCGCCTCCCACTCCGGCCCTCCTCTCTCGTGGGCTCTGCCGCAGGAGGGGTGCGCTGAGCCCCCATGCAACCCCGCTCTGTGCACCCACCGCGCTTCTTCCAGCACTGGGCCTCGCTGGGGCGCCCGCTTGCGCTGAAACGCCCGGGGCACGGCAGGGCCGCACGGACGGCCCCGCAGCGAGGCACGGCCTCGCTGTGCTTCCGCGCCTGCCGGTGCGCCCGCCGACCTCGGGGCCTGCGCGGGCGCTTTCCTCCGCCGGCCGCGGGGAAACGGCTCGAGCGGCTCTGCGGGGGAGACGCGGCGCTGCGGAGGGGCCCTCCCTGAGGGCGGGAGCGGCGCTGCCGCCCCGCGTCGCCCCTGCCCGCGGCGGGCCCCGGGGCCACCCCTCGGCGGCCGCACGGAGGCCGCGGCAGGCCTCGCGCCTTTCGCCAGCCTCGCTTGGCGCCCCCGGTGCCCGCCCGCCGGCCCGCCCGCCGGCCGGGAGTCCGAGCGGCCCCGCGCTTGCGCCCCTCGCGGCGCCCGAGGCCCTCGCGCGGGGCAGCGGGGGGCGCCCTCGCCTTTCCCGGCCCGCGCTGGCCCCTGCGCCGGCGTGGCCGCTCTCCTCGCTGCAGCGCGGTGTCTTTTGTTCTGGTTTGTTTCTAGATTGTTGGTGTTTGTTTAGATTTTTTTAATTTTTTATATATAGTTTTGTAACAAAAAAGGGGAAAAAAGCGGGGGGGGGGGGCTGAGCCAAGCTCGCAAAGGCGGGCCAAGCTAGCAACCCTAAGCTGGTTGTTTTTCGATAAATGTGTTTCTCTCTGGATTGCATTTTTTTATGCTCACAAGTCTGTGGACTTTATAGTGCATTTTTAAGGTTTTAATCTTTGTAAACTGACAAGAAAACTGTGGCCATTGGGCAGAACAGACATGTGAGAAATGAAAATGATTTTCCACTGATAGCATTTTAGACTCTGCAGCAATGTTTTATATATTTTATATTGTCTTCCCATGCTGATTGTTGTAGCTTTGTATTGCATTTTTTTTTCTTTTAGCTTCAAGTAATGCACCAGGGAAATTTGTTATGAGGGATATTAAAAATGTAGTTGGTATATAAATAAACCTTTTTAAACCTTGCAGAGGCTGGGTGGGTGAGGGGAAAAGAAACTTCTCAAAAGAGGGGCTGAAACAGCTTGCCATCTGCTTCATTCCCTTTTGGAGAGATGCAGAAGTAGTTCTTGTTTGTGGTGGTTCTTTCATTATTGCCATAAAGCATCCACATGGCTTCCCCCTAATCTTTGGGATAAAATCTTGCAATTGTAAAACCACGAGGGACTAGTGCTAGCAATTAAATGATGAAACTGTGAATACAAAATATTTTCTGAGCAAAAATGAACGTGACCCTGGAATGTAAAGTCAGAAGAAAAAGCTGGCTCTCAGATCTGTTGTACAGAGAACAAGCAGTGGTGTAAAGATACAGTATTACTATAAAAATGGACTGTGCATTTCTGTGCAAAAGCCAGAAAAAGTTGCTTTCTGTTTAACATTGTGGCTGAAAGCTGTGAATCATACTACTTGATTACCGAAGCTGAAACTGACATGCTGACGAGAAGTACTTGCCCACAACCATCACTGTGAGAACAGACTATCTGTTCTCGCTATCTCGAAGCAGCTGGAAGTGAGAATTGCTGCTTGCTTGGGAGGTAGGATTCCCCCCTTCAGCCATGCACCATGCCTGGGTTCCTGGCTCAGGCCGAGGGCGGGAGACCTGTGGGTCTCCAGATGCTTTGGCACACAACACTCATCATCCTTCACCCAGAGCTAGGCTGGCTGAGGCTGCTGGGAATTGTCCCTGAAACCGCTGGAGGGCACAAGGGCCCAGCCTGGTTTGGTCCCTGACTGCCAGATGTGACTTCAGGTTGATTCATGTGGGAAGGGTGAAGCAGTCCTTCATTGTCCACACGGTCTGGCATGGCTCCCCCCGCTGTGTTTGGTGTGTTGTTTTCCCTTTTAATTTGAAATAAAAACGATTCAACTGCAAACTTGCTGATCTGCTCTTTCTGCTTCCATGTGCACTAATGTTTGCAAAGACCTTCTGCTTCGCCCTATTTTGTCCCCTGCATGTAGAACTGAGCCCTTTGATTCAGCTAACTGCCTTTTCTAATGAACAGCGTTCGCAACAATCAGTGTCGTCGTGCCTGATGCTACTTGTAGCCCAAAACTAACACCCTGACTTTGGCCTGACACTCCACGAGGGCTTCATCTGATGCAAATGCTGGCAGATGCCCCAGAATCCATGGTGGGGGGTGGGCACTTGTCCAAAAGGCAGAGGACACAAATCCAGGGACTGTCTCTCTTTGGGCAGTTCCCCATCATCGAAGGACGGAGTAATACGGGCAGCCAGATTTTGCATCCAAAAGAAATGGAATTTAGATGGCGACCGTCTGGGGGCCCTTTATGTGACTCACAGAAGAGCCACGACCCCTTATGGCGGGGGTCCTCAAACTTTTTCAATAGGGGGCCAGTTGAAAGGCTGCGGTAACCATTGCGTGGGCCAGTGAGGTGTCGGGTGTGCGCGAGGCGGTCTCGGGCGGGACCCCGAGGGCGTGGAATGGGCTTCCATGAGAGGTCGTTGAGGCCCCATCGGTGCGGGTGTTCAAGGATAGGCTGGACGTCCACATGGTGAGCATGCCGTGAGCGGAGCCGGCTGGTGCCGGAGGTCGGACTGGATGGCCCGGGAGGCCCCTTCTGACTCGCTCTGTTTCTATGTTTCTATCTCCCAGTGAGTACAAAACCATCTCTGAGCAAGCGAGCCGCCACCTCCCGGCCTGCACAGCAAGGGCACGCACGGGCAGCGAGCGGCAGCGCAGGCTGGATGGATGGCCGTGGTGGGCCAGATCCGTCCTGTGGGCCGTAGTTTGAGGACCCGTGCCTTGTGGTGTCATCTTCGTGATCGTAATAAGGGAGTCACTCAGTGGAACTGGGGCCCATTCCGTTGACATCCGTCGTTTTTCTTTGCAGAGCCCAAAGACGGCATGACTCTTTATGTCCAGGTTGAAAGCATTCCTGCGGTAAGTTCCAACGGATTGAATAAGCACTGCCCGGTCCTCCATGCCAGGAAATTGCTCTGCTCTGCTGGGGGTCTTTCACGGGGAATGGGTGCTGCAGGAGGGAGTATCAGAACGGAGCTGGGCCCCAGGAGGCCCTGGAAATGCCCAGCTTTGCAGATCTGTGTGCATGCAGATGAATGGGGTCTTCTGTAGGTCTGCTGGTCTTAATTATACACCCACGGACACACCCAGCTTTGCACTGCAACAGGAGTCGCCCGCTCCAGTTACCTGTTACTGGGAAAATCCCTCCCTCCTCACATGCCCGGCCAGGAGGATGGCCCTGAGCTCAGAGAGCACTTTGGGCGGTGCAGCGCCCCATCAGCGCCCTGCTCACCAACATTTCCCAGGGCTGCCGCTTCCCGTGCCCCAGCCCGGTTCTAAGCCAGCCTGGACCAGCCCACTGGCCCAGCTGGCTCCGCCTCGACAGCCCTTCCTTCAGGGCCCCCGGAAGGCCTTCTAGAGCTCGCCCCTTTGTCCTCGTGCACCTCCGTGCCAACCGGTTTTGGTCCTGTGGGGCTTTGCACACCCATCAGCCCTGTCAGCCCCTCCCCTGCAGCAAGCAGAGGTAGCTGTGACGCCTACACGGAAATGCACAAGACGAGCAATTCAGCCAGGCCACGGACAGCCCAGGAGTGCCGCACTGCGGGAGAAAACCTGATCACATGAAAATATCAATGGGGATTCCACCCCAGCCCCAAAAGCCCCAGCATGGGGGCCCTGCCATGCTTCTGGAAGACCTCATTCGGGGGCTGTGGGGTGGAACTGCAGGGCCAAGGGGAGAGAGCGCAGGTGCAGACGCGCAAACGGCACAGCTGAAAGACACGCTGAACTGGTGCAGTGAAGCAGTGCAAGCTGCAGGCAGGGCTGGTCTCTCGGCTGTTTTGCTCTGCTAAAAAAACCTGCTAACTTTAATCTTACAAAAATCACACCTTTAGAAATACCTCACACCCTTAAAGCCAAAAATACACAGCTTATCGACTTTAATTTTCCTTTCTTATAAGCAAGCTTTTGAAAACATACCTGTCATGACACATTTTAGTCACCAAAATTCAAAGAATAAGCACTCAGCCACGGAGATGTGAGAAGTGCCAGCGCTGCAGCTGTCCTGGTACCAGCTCTAATTCTTTTGCTTTGCCCCAGCATTGCCAGTGCCAGTCTGTGTCTGCTGAAGCACACCGGCTGCCTTCTCTTCTGCTTGCGATGAGCAGAGCTGGTGTTTTGATTGGTTTTTGCATGCCATCCTGATTTGCACAAGGATGATGGGTTGTTCAAAAAGTTTAACCAAGTGAAGGAATATTTAGAGGCTAGGTTATATCTAGGTCGTCTATTTGCATGTTCCCTCCATCCTTCTGCGTCTGGACACTGCTGCATCTAAACAGCAAAGAGAACCAGCAAAGGCAAGCCAGGAAACGGCCCAAGCGCTCTGCGTCACTGTGCAGCATCCCGTCGTGGTAGGAGGAATGCCACGTTCTGTTTGGTCTACACTAGAAATAAAATCTCCATTAGAAAACTGCCGTTCCTTCCAGAGATTGAACTGGGAAATGGAGGGATGGTGACACGCCTGGCTGTGCTTAGGGGGTCCTGGGACTCTTACAGGCAAGGCTTTTATTTCACTGTCACACATTGAGGAAAGGGGAGAGAGTGCCTTCTGCTCATGGGCCTCGTGATGCTTTCTGCCTGTCTGCGCTAGGAGCTCTTTCTCTGGAAGTCCCCAGCCTGCTGCCTCGCTTTCACTGTGAGTTCAACTTCCAGAGATGTAGGAGGGGCAAGAAAAACTCTCCCCCGTGCTTTTGGCCCCACACTGAACCCTGCTAAGAAAACTCTTCAGCAAAATTCCCCAATGGGCCTGGTGCTTTTTGCAAACTCCACACAATTAGTCTGGGGATTAGTAAACTCACTAGAAATCAAAGCACCTGATTCAGCAGCGCCAAGTCAATTTATAGGAGACTTTCCAAAACAGAATTCTGAGCACTTTGCTATAAAAAAGCAAATCACATATTGGACCATGCCTAATTTCTTGTGATATTCTGTAGCTTTAGTGGTATAAAATGCCTTGCTTTTGCACAGACACGCTAGAAAATTCGATCTCTCTCTCATGAGCTTCCATGGGAATGAAGGCCTTTCCAGAAGGCCTCATCTTCTCCAGCTTGACCCCTCTCACGGCTTCTCTTTCCTAGAATTCTCTGCAAACGGATGACGAGAAGATGCAGAAGGAAAGATGGAGAGCCGTGAAGGACAGCGACAAAACTGTTTACTCAGAGGTCCAGTTGCAAGAGGCACGTGACGTTCTGGGCCTGTTTCTTGGCCAATGCTTGGGGTTGCCACATGCCAGGCTGTGCCGATTGCAGCCTGTGGGCTGGCAGTCTGAATAGCTGCGCTGGGGGGAGGAAGCCCCGGTGTGGCCTTCCATTTCCTCCATAAAACCTCAGGGCCAGGGCTGCGTGCACAGGCATCCGCCCCACAGCCTCCCCCAGGCTGGTGTTTCGGCTGTTGCATTCTGCTGCTGAAGGCCGCAAAGACGGCTGTGCTCATGCGCCTCCAGGAGCTGAAGAAAATGTGAGGCCGGGAGGGGGGGCCGTGTGCCGGGGGGGACCTGGGCACGCGCGTAGGCCCTGCTCCCAGCATCCCCGCACGCACAGCTCCTTGCCAGGCCTTCCTGGGTTGCGCGCAGGACCAAGGCGGCTCTCCCTGTGCTGTGTGCGAGGAACTGAAGGGGGGCCCGTGGACGTGGCAGGTCGAAGATGCTTCAGGGCGCCCTGTGGGCCTTTGCACTCAGCACGCAAAGGTCTCACTGGTGCCAGGCACACGGGGATACTGGAGGCAGAGCGTGTGTGTGTGGCTGTGTCCCCCTCCACAGATTAGCCTTACATGCAGTAGGCCTGCTTGGGGGCAGGTTTCCCAGGGCCAGATGCGGGGCTTAAGCACAGTTCATGGCACATCGCCCCTCCTTGTGACCAACGCTTTCGGCAGAACAACTTGTGACAATTACAAAATTACGTAATGCAACACAAGAGAAGTCATACAAATATCCTGAGAGCACCACTGGGTGCCGCTTGCATAATTCTCCCTCTTTCTCATCTAGTCTGCTAAAGCGGGTGCAGCTGTGGGCTGCGTGGGAGCATGTGGGAGTGAGCCGGGCCGGGCCTCTGTCTCCTGTCTTGGAGCATCCTGCGCCTGGCCAAGCTGGGTGCCTGCCGGCCAGCCCTTTGGAACAGGCAGGCCTCTGGGCTGGGCTGGGCTGGGCTGGGCTGGGCTGGGGGCAGATTAGGAGACAGCCAGGAGGGGGTGTGGCAGGCATCCACAAGCAGGTGCATCATGCAGGGGGGAAAACAGGGAGGTGGAGGGAGCGTGCCTTCCAGGTGGTCAGGGAAGGCGCTTCTTCCAAGTGATGGAATTCACTGCCACGCTCAGGAAAGGCCGCCTGGCGGATGCACCTGGGCGGCTGCTGTTCTTTCTGGTGGAGCAGCCTCCCCATGGCCGCCGTGCCCTTGAAGCCGAGCCGCACGCTTCCTCTTCTGTGTGTCTTGGCTCAAGGCCAAGATGCCATTCCTTAGGGATCCATTAGGGACTGGGGCGTGCAAGGCTGGTGGGCCATTGACCCTGAGGGCCATGTGGGCCAGGAGGCAGAGGCCATGCAGAGACCCCCAGCTGCCGGGGTGCGGTGGGCCGCTGCCCTTCTGCTCGCTCGAGGGCGTGTCAGGGGTCCTCAGCCGGCAGCTGTGCCCAGCAGGCCCTCGCTCCCACCCGCCGCAGGGCCCCCCGCCGTCTCCCGTCAGCTGCAATGGGGCTGGGCGGCCGCCCACCCCCCGCCACTTGGGATTGACGGCCATGAGCAATGGGCACGTGCCCACTTTCTCTTGCAGAAGGAGGACCAGAACATCAAGACTGTCTACGAGACCCTGAACCACCCGAAGCCCGGGGGTGCTCTCTGATGAACGCAGCAGCCCGGAAGGATGTGGAGGACGGAGCAGGAGCCCGCAGCGCGAGGAGCCCCCGCCTCCCACAGCAGTGCGCCGACCGGCACTGGCGCAGGAGGGACTGCAGCTGCCTGGACCTGCGATGTCTCCGCACAGAGTCCGGGCGCACTCCGGGCAGTCTCCACATCCAGAGGGCCGGCCGGGCCGGCAGAGGCACTAGCCACGCTTCGGCAGGTTTCCACAGGCTAACGTCTGAAAGGTGCAGCCACAGCGTCTCCTGATGTGCGTGAGACTCCCCAGCCCATGTGGTGGCACCTTTCGGACCCAGCCCGTCCTGAGAGTCTTGCAGAAAACCGGCTCCTGCTGTTGCAGGCGTGTCTGAAAGGCCTTGAGTTACTCCCAGCTGCCGCCTTTCCTGCCCCTCGCTTGCCCCAACGGGCTTCAGCGCTCAGCTTGCAAAACATGCTTAGCCTTTCATTGTCCTTCGGCACCCAAGCTGCCCCTTACCGAATCATAGAACGGTAGAGTTGGAAGGGGCCAGGAAGGCCATCAGGTCCACCCCCTGCTGGAGCAGGACACCAGTTTGCACCACCCAATTCAGAAGGCTGTCCAGTTTCTTTCTGAATACCTCCAGTATATTCAGTATATCTCCAGGCAGTTGGTCTCACTGTCGTGTTGCTCTGACAGAGAGGAAGCTTTTCCTGATGTCCAGCTTGAGTTTGGGTTGTTGCAACTTGAACTGATTACTCTGTGTCCTGCACTCTGGGATCAGCAAGAAGAGATCTTGGCCTTCCTCTTTGTGGCAGCCTTTGAGGTCCTTCTAGAGGGATACCATGTCCCCCTCAGCCTTCTCTTCTCAAGGCTGAGCATGCCCGGTTCTCTCGGTCTCTCCTCACAGGGCAGTGCTTCCAAACCCTGGATCATGTTTGTTGCCCTCCTCGGAACCCTTTCTAATTTGCCTGCATCTTTCTTAAATCTTGGTGCCTGGAACCAAGCAGCTGATGGATTCCAGAACCCATAGCCAAAGCCTTGGAAAAAGGCCTAAAGGCACGGTGGAGATGTAGTCCCAGAGCGTAATGCTGCCTGTTGTCCCCTCATTTCCTGCCACTCTGTGTGTGTGTGTGTGGGGGGGAGCACTCACAGCAGGTAGTGTTAATGCATTTGAAACCGCTTGGGGGCCGATCGTTGCCAGTCATGCCGCGTGCTGCACCCAGAGGATGCCCATTCGGTGCACCGCACATTCTTGTGACTGAGCCACCGAAGCAGCTGTGCAGTCCCCATGGGGCAGCCCAGCACTGCCCTTGCAGGGCAGCTGGGCTGCCCACCCGGCCAGGGGGCTTGGCTTGCCCTCCCGGCGGGTCCTGCTGGACGTCCCCTCGAGCTGCTGGCAGCCTCGTTGCCTGGATCCGTGCTCACCGCGGGAACATGGCTGTGCTCATGCTGGACGGAGAAGCACCCTCCCTGCCCTCAACTGGCAGGAAAGCAAAGTGGACGTCTACGTGTGTAATGATCTATTTTTCTCCGGGAGCCGCTTGGAAGGATCAACAGAGGGTGGTCTGGATTGGCACTGCGGTGCCTGACTCTCTGGGGGATCACAGGAGCCCCCGAACCGGCCCTCCTGGCCTTATTGCTGCTGTTGTATCGCAGGTTGCTTCAGATTCCCCCCCTGCGGTGTGTGCCGGTCATCCTGCCTCCCCTGACCTGGCCGCGTCCTTGCCTTGTCCTCCCCTCCCCTCCTCTCCTCTCCTCTGCGCTTGCTTTGCATCTCCGCAGGCGGCAAGTCAAGCCCCACTTTGCCGCTCCAGCACAGGCGGATACGGAGGTGCACTGCCAGCCCGGCGGCCCCGGGCCCTGACAGGTGCTCTGGTGGGGCACATGGGGCCCAGGGCCCTTGTCGGGGCTGCAGAGCCTTTTCTTGCCCGCATTGTCGCAGGGGATGGCTTCAAACTTTGCTTTGTGAGCTGCTGCGAGACTTTGGCTGCACGAAAACACCGCAAGTAAATAAAGCATTCCATCCCAAAGACCAAAGTCTACCTGAGAGATGCTCTTGGGGCCCCATTTGGGGTGGGGCCCAGGGCAGGGAGGTGAAGCCAAGAGCCCCACGCATTTCCTTTCGTGAGGCCTGCTTTGGCACCAAGTTGCCACTGTCTGGGGGGCGGGGGCACCACAGCCTTCGGCTGCAAAAGCCAGGCGACCCCCCACCATTTAGAGGATGGGGCTTGGACCACCCAGGGCCAGGCTTGCCTGTGGGCCGAAGCCCAGTAGGCGCTCGGAGGGGATTGGGCCGGCGCAGGCGGGCTCAGGATGAGGCGATGTGAGGGGGGGATTCGGGGCGCAGCTGCTGAGGGCACCGAGTTGCTCCGGCGGAGTATGGAGCGTAGCCTGGGTCACCCTGGGGGCCCCAGTCCATCCCGGCCGGGCAGGGCACAGTGCTGCCGCCGGCCCCCACCGCTGCCCGAGTCCCGCCCTGGAGGCCTCGGCGTCCGAGGCACCCGAGCGTCGCAGCGCTTCTTCCCGTTGTGAAGAGGAAGCTGGGGCGGGAAAGGGGGAACTGATGCTTCCTCTTCCTCCGTGCCTCCTGGGCCGGTCTGAGATCCCACAGTGGGCGCAGAGACATGTCCTGGCTGCTGGCTGCGGCGCTGCTTCCCCTCCTCGGTGAGTCCCCAAGAGGCCTTCCTGCTCGCAGGCGGGCCGTTTCCGCAGAGCATCCCACCTGGAGCGTGGATGTGGCCAAGCCTCTCGGCACATCACCGCAAGCCAAGCGTCAGGCGCAGGCGGAGAACTGCCGAGTGGAGCATTAGCCAGACGGGGCAGCCTGGCAGACACGGGGGTCAAGCCCTCTAAGGGGAAGTGGTCACTAGTGGTTACTGAACCAGAGTCCTGCACCGTCAGCCGCTGGGTTTCTGTTCCCAGCAGCTTGGGGAAAGTAGCATTGTTGGGTGCGGGGGGGGGGGTCTAGAAATCTCACGGAGGGGGATGGATGCCTTCACATCATGGAAACCTCCTGAGCAGAACCATTTATGTGATTCATTTTCAAAGAATAAGCAGTAAGAGGCCAACTCAGAAGTTTGGGCCTCATTAAGTAGGCACAAAAGGTGAAATTTCCCTCAGCCATCACATCTCCCAGCTTCCTAATTTAGGGTTATTGTCATTTTTAATGTAGATTTCAAAATAATAAAAAGGTGTAGAAATTAGTGAACCTTGCAAATTAATACTCAACATTACCCTTTCTACTCTTAACATTTTCTCACCGTTCCTTTGGCATTATCGACCCCTATTTTGTGTGCTTGCTTTTGGTGCAGTCATGCATCACCCGGTCGGAGCTTCCTAGCAAAGGAAGTTGCTTCATCGAAATAGTCATCAAGGAAAACGCATGAAAAGGAGCAGGTTGCAGCCTGCCTCTTTTATGTGTGCCCTGGCATTCGGATGGGCAACTTGCAGCCCTGCGGACAGTCCTAGCATCACAGAATAGCAGAGCTGGGGGCTCCAGAAGGCCATCGGGTCCAACCCCCTGCTGGGGCAGGACACCAGTTCACACCATTCCACTCAGAGGGCTGCCCAGGTTCTTCTTGAATGCCTCCAGTGTGGGAGAGCCCCCCGCCTCTCCAGGCAACTGGTTCCACTATTGTATTGCTCTGACAGTGAGGAAGCTGATGTCTAGCCTGAATCTGGAGTGTCACAGCTTGAATTGATTATTCCGTGTCTTGCACTCTGGTATCAGTGAGAAGAGAGCTTGACCTTCCTCTTTGTGGCAGCCTTTGGGGTACTTATTGAGGAGTATCATGTCCCCCCCAGTCTTCTCTTCTCAAGGCTGAGCATGCCCAGTTCTCTCAGTCTCTCCTCACAGGGCAGAGATTCCAAACCCTGGATCATTTTGGTTGCCCTCTGCTGGACCCTTTCTAATTTCATTGCATTTTTCTTAAATCTTGGTGCCCAGAACTGGACACGGTATTCCAGGTGAGGTCTGACTAGCGAGGAGTATAGAGGAACTACTACTTCTCCTGATCTGGAAGCAATGCTTCTGTTAATGCATCCCAAAATAGCATTTCCTCTCTTTGCAGCTTCATTGCACCTGCTGGCTCATGTTTAGCCTGGTGTCCACAATAACTCCAAGGTCTTTTTCCTTTTCAATTCTATCAAGCCATTTATTCTCCATCTTGTGTTGATGCATTTGGTTTCTCTTTCCTGGGTGGAGAACTTGGCATTTGTTCCTACTGAATCTCATTTTGTTGCTTTCAGCCCAGCATTCAAGTTTATCAGGATCGCCCTGGATCTTCATTCTGCTTCTTGGGTGTTTGCTATTCTATCCAGTTTGTACCATCTGCAAATTTGATCATCTGCCCTTGTTCTTCCTCATCTTAAAATCATTAATAGAGATGTTGGAGAGCACTGGGCCCAGGACACCCACTAGTTACCTCCATCCAATTTGAGAAGGTGCCATTGATGAGCACTCTTTGTGACCGATTTAGCAGCCAATTTTGGATCCACCACCAGTTTTTCCATCTCGCTAATTTGCAAGTCAGGATGTTGAAGGGCATTATGACAAAAACACTGCTAGAGTCAAGGTAGATCACATCCATAGTGTTTTCTCTGTCCATTTGGGACAGTCAAAAATGAGATTAAGTTAGTCTGACAGGATTTATTTCTGATAAATCCATGTTGGCTTTTATTAATCACTAAGCTTGGTTGCAGGTTTCCTTGTGGGAGAAGACCGAGCAGAAGCAGGAACGGAGGTCTTTCCCTTGTCGGCTGTTATCGCTCTGCCCTCCAGTTTAAGCGGCTGGACACCCTTCTCTTGCTCATGTCTTTTGTTCTGGGTGTCTCTGGCGAAGGCTTTCTTGCTGTTCTTAGCATCCCTTGCTAGTCTCGGTTCGTTTCCTGCTTTAGCCTTCCTGATGCCGCCCCTGCAGTTCCTCGGGATTTGTCTATGCTCTTCCTTCATGCGTGGCCCCGCTCCCACCTCCTGCACATGTTCTTTCCCCCCCCTTCAGGCTGCCACTTACCCAAAGGGCACCAGGCTGGGCAAAGGAGCAGGGCCCCCCGCCATGCGCTCAAGCAATGACTAGGCCGTGACCATGGAGGGCGCAGAGCCCTGGGCCCTCTCTTCCCCCCTCCCAAAAAATGTGGCCTGGGCCATGTGATCTGGTCATAGCCACTCTGGGAGAGGCTGTAACAGGGGATTTGATATATTCTTAGGACTTCTTGAGGGCTGTGACAGCTTGAGTGAGCCTCCCTTTCTGGAGGCAGTCTACCTCTGTGCACCAAACAATGGGGATAGCAACATGGGGGTGGGGCTGTTGCCTTCCACTGCTGCTGGTGGGCTCTGTGAGGGCATCTATCAATCCCCAGTTGGCCACAGGAGGCAGGAGGGGTGCCCCGCTGGCCGATCAGGGTGCCCTTACGCTGCTTCCCCCCACCCCGCTTCCCTCGGGGGCGGCCACTGGAGATGCAAGCGGCACGAGGCTTTCGGGGAGGCTGAGCGCGGCTGAATGGGGAACCCGGAGTGGCCTGCTGCAGCCGCCTGCTATCGGCCTGCTCCACACGCTGAGCCACGATGAAACAGCAGAATGCCCCTCAGGCTGTGGGGCTGCCTGGGGTTTCCGGGGGGGTGGGTTGCATCCGAAACGCGCTGTTCTTACGCAGCTTGTGGCCCAGAGCAGATCCATGTGAGGGCCCAGCACGGGGGAGGCTCCGTGGGGAGGCTGCGTCAGCCATTCAAGGCTGTCCCGAGCCCCGGGCCCTCCGGACAGGTCGGGCTGCAACTCCTGCCATTCCAGCCGCAGCTGCTGGGAAAGGTCTCTGTTAGGCTGGCCGGAGGCGGTCCTTCAAGGCCGTGGGGAGAGGCCACCCTTTCCCCTCCGGATTGCTCTAGCTGGAGACGCTGCGGGGCATTCAAGAACTCCTGGCTGGGGCTGGATGTTCAGCCAAGTGCCTCCATGGACAGGATTTCAAGTCGCAGGCCAACGAAGGTGCTGCACTGCGGCTGGGCTGCTGCCGGCTCGAGCCAGGCCCCGGACGGGGTGGTCGTGGGCAGCCTGGGCCTTGCTTCCCGCGCGACGCACACAGCTCCCGTGTCGCCTCACCCTCCACCACTCCCGAGAAATGGGCAGACTTTCAGCCCCCTGCAGACCACAGAGCCCCCGTCTGTGGCTTGCTGCCCCCCCCACCGCATGCTTCCCTCCAGGTGCTGCAGGACACGGGGCTTCGGCTCAGGGCCCAGGCCAGCTGCCCTCTGCCCTAAGTGCCCAGCCTGGGCTTGGTGGGCGTCTGGCGCTGCCCAAGGCGGGCCTGCATGCTCTTGGGAAGGAGCCAGCACTGAGCAGCCCCCCACCCCCGCCAAAGGGTTCCCGCTCAGTCTCACCATCTCGAACCAAGATGGTCCTTTGCAAGGGGGGCTGCGAAAGGGGGCCTCCCGGAGGGGCGGCCAGTTGGGCCAGAGGCTGCTCGGGAGAGCCAGCATTCCTGGCTGGGGTCGGCTGTTTAGCTCACTGCCTCCATGGAAAGGATTTCAAGTCACCTGCTGACGAAAGCATCTCTTGCCACCTGAGTCATATGCCAGTGACTGAGGTCTTAGCAGACACTGCCCACAGAATTTCCACATCATCATCGCTGGAGCCCAGTGACTAGAAACCTCCTTTCTTTTTAAAAAAATGCGTGCACGGAAAATCTCCAAGGGCCCAGAGGTACCGGAAGCCCCACGGACCGCAAAGCTGAGGGAAACCATTGCGCTCACCAAGTTGCGCTTTTAGGTTTGTCATTTCAGTCCTTTCCCGGTTCATTTTCAAGGTGATGTGAAAGGCCTTAAGCGCCCACTTCTCTCTGCACAACCGTTCTGGTTTTATCTCTGGCTCGCACATGGGGAAGAGGCTCGCAAAGACCCTGGGGGCGCCCAGCGCAGCTCGTGATCCCAGGTGCTGAAAGCGACGTGGCAGGCAGAGCGCAAATCCCCTCCCGCAGGCTCGGTTGCGGAGAAAAGATTGGAAGTGACATTGCAAAGGTCTCGGCATTCACGGGAAGCTCCCGGACTGTGTGACCCCGCCTGCGCTCTGTGTCCATCCTGATGACTCTGGAGGCTGGGCAGGAAGCTGCCCCCAGCCCTGGAAAGCCCCCAAGCCCCGGTGAAATGGCCCTTCCGTGGCCTTGAAGGGCCCCCTGCACAAGGGGGGCACAGATCCAAGAAGACGGGTCCTCCTGGCCTTCCAAAGAGGGAGGGGAAGCCCTGCCAGGTAGAGCCACCCTCACCTTTGCTGAGCAGCTCCCGCCTCCACAGGGAGTTCAGCTGCGGACTTCCCCTCAGCCCAAGGGGTGGGAAGACGTCCGTGCGAACGTGTAGGGAAGAGGCGGCTGAGCGCTGCTTTGCCTCAGGACCCCAGAGCGTCTCTCACACGCAGGCTGCAAACGCGGCAGCAGCACAGCCAGCTACAGGCTGGGGACCATGGCAGCCCTCCTTCCTGATCCCGCTGCCCCCAGAAAAAGAGGCCAGGCAGCCACGGGTGCAGGACCAGCCCCAGAGGAGGACAGGGAGCCTGCAGGACCAGGGCCGGCTGCGACGGGCCGCGCAGCAGGGACCCCACCCTCCGCAAACGGGCACCCACAGAACCTCCTGTGGCGCTGGGAGTGCAGCCGTTGGAGCCCCCTTCATGTCCAGAGGGCGTGCCCCAATCGCCCCACCCCTGACCTTGGTCCTGTTGCATTACCCTTTTGCAGCCCTTCAAGCAGAGAAACCAAAATTCCCTTCCAGAGATGGGAACGGGGCGAAAGGTGTGTTCAACGATACGACGCTGCAGGAGAGAGAAACGGAGCAGTTTCGGGACGCTAAGGACAGGAGCAGCACCACGGAAGGAGGCCAGACGGCCAGAACTACCTCTCTTCCTTCCACCATCAAGATGGAACACAGTGGCTGTGAGTATTGGGAAAAAGTGGGACCATGGGAGCACAATTCTGTGAGATGCTCCAGGCTGAGAAGCAGAAAAAGCCCCCAAATGAATAAAGGAATGTGGCAGGCGCAGGGGGCGCTCGCCACGTGGACCTGCCCACATGTCGGCAAAAGAATGGCCTGCCCTTCCCAGTATGCCCAGCTGCCTCAGCTTGCTGGGCCATTGGTGGACCGACGGGGAGGGCGGGGGTGAGAGCCACAGGCAAGCCGTCCTGCTCCGCGGCTCCCTGGGGGTGTCAGCCCCAGCAGCGCTCTCGCACGTGCCCTCCACGCCGGGGGCCTCTGCCCACCCCGGGGGCCACAAGCAGGAGGCAGGTTTGGTCTGGCCTTCTCCCAGGCCCTCTTCCTCAGCCTCGCTCAGAGCCGGCTTCCTCGTCTTCCCTTCAGGGAGGCTGCCGAAACCCACCATCACCGTTCGCTCCACGAAAGGGACCTGCGATGTCACCCTGAGCTGTGCCGTCGCGGGAGCCGCGGGGCCTGTGAGCTACGCCTGGTCAAGCGCCAACGCGAGCATGGTGCTCCCCAGGGGCCCGACTCTGCATGTCAGGCAGAAGCCCCCAGACGGCTCCCTGGAGTACACCTGCACCGCCTCGAGCAAGGAGAGTGAGAACTCCAGCACCGTTTCTCTGAGGGAGCACTGCCACGGTGAGGCCCAGGCGGAAGCGGTCCGTCTGCAGACCAGGGTGTGCGACACGCAGGGCCCGAGGCCAGTTGCGGGTGCCTCTCACCACCGTGCCTGTCCGTTAGCTCCCCCCCTCCCCAACGCCGCCACCACAGGGCCTGGGAAAGAGCCAGGGCTCCGTGCTTGGAGTCGTGGAATTGCCCCCGCAGACCGCAGTCCTTGAAAGCTGCCCTCAATGGCCTTAAGGTCGAGAACATGGGTCCGAAAACTACGGCCTGTGGGCCGGATCTGGCCCACCATGCCCATTGACTGGACCGCCCTGGAGGTTTTGCATTCACCGCACATGCGTGTGCGGGCACGCTGCTTGCTCGCGAGCGATCGTTTTGGACTCACTCAGAGAAAGCTATCTTCACTTGAGCAGTGGCTGCCTCGCCTTATTTAATTATTCATTTAAAACATTTCTATGCTGCCCCGTTCGCCGAAGCCTCGGGGCGGCTCACAACATAAATTAAAATATAATACATTAAAAATATAAAACAAATTAACAATATAAAATAAGTCGCCCTGGCCAGATAAAATAAGCAAGTAATATTAACAATTAAAATGATGTTTAAATAAAAAGGTCTTCCCCTGGTGCCGAAAAACAAATAACGACAGCGCCAGGCGGACCTCTCTGGGGAGCGCATTCCATAGATTGGGCGCCACCTCAGAGAAAGCCCTCCTCCGAGTACTCACCCTCCTAATTTCCTTCACGGAGGGTTCCCGAAGAAGGTCCTCTCCCGCTGATCTCAAGGGGCGGGCGGGCGGGCATATATGGACGTAAGCGCTCCTTCAGGTAACCAGGACCCAAGCCGTTTAGGGCTTTATAGGTCATCACCAACACCTTGAATTGGGCCTGGACTTCAATGGGAAGCCAGTGAAGCTGACCGAGGACTGGAGTCATGTGAACATAATGCCCAGTCCCCGTCAGCAGCCTGGCAGCTCTATTTTGAACCAACTGAAGTATCCGGACCATCTTCAAGGGCAGCCCCACGTAGAGCGTGTTACAGAAGTCAAGGCGGGAAGTCACCAACGCGTGTGTCACTGTCGCCGGGCAGTCGTACTCCAGGTAGGGGCGCAACTGATGGATCAGCCGAAGCTGAAAGAAAGCGCTCCTCGCCACCGCTGTCACCTGAGCTTCCAGTGAAAGCTCTGGGTCGAGGAGCACTCCCAAGCTGCGGACCTTGTCCCTGAGAGGGAGTGCAACCCCATTCAGGACTAGGTTCAATTCACCCTCCCCGAAGCCTGATCCACCAACCAACAGGACCTCCGTCTTGTCTGGATTGAGCTTCAGTTTATTGGCCCTCATCCAGCCCATTACCTCGGCCAGGCACCGGTTCAGTACAGTCACTGCCTCACCTGGATTGGTGGAAAACGAGAGGTAGAGCTGGGTATCATCAGCGTACTGATGATTCCGCAGCCCACACCTCCTGATGACCTCTCCCAGCGGTTTCATGTAGATGTTAAACAGCAAAGGGGGCAAAATGGACCCCTGCGGTACTCTGTGGCATAGCTGCCATGGCGCAGAGCCATAGTCCCCCAGCACCACCTTCTGGAACCGGCCATCGAGATAGGAGCGGAACCACTGCAAAGCAGTGCCTCCAACCCCCAGTCCCGCAAGCCTATCCAGAAGGATACCATGGTCGATGGTATCGAAAGCCGCCGAGAGGTCCAGGAGAACCAACAGGGACGCACTCCCCCTGTCCTTCTCCCTGCACAGGTCATCGTACAGGGCAACCAAGGCAGATTCAGTACCGTACCCGGGTCTGAAGCCGGACTGAAATGGGTCCAGATAATCAGTTTCATCCAAGAGTGCTCGGAGTTGTCCCGCCACCACCCGCTCCAACACCTTGCCCAGAAACAGGATGTTGGCCACTGGTCTATAATTAGTGGCCATCTCTGGATCCAGTGACGCTTTCTTCAGGACTGGTCGGACTACCGCCTCCTTTAAAGGGGCAGGTACCCGGCCCTTCCTCAGAGAAGCGTTAACCACTTCCAAGATCCAGATCCCAATCCCGTGCTTGGAATTATTTATTAACCAAGACGGGCAAGGGTCCAATAGGCAAGTGGTGGGACGTACTCGTCCAAGCACCTTATCCACATCATCAGGCCGCAATAACTGAAATTTGTCCATTAATTCTGGACCAGACGGCAGCATTGGCGTCTCCCCAGAAACCTCTGATTCACTAGTGGTGTCCAGCTCGTGACGAATCTGAGGCCCCGCCTGATTCGCTCTGTTTCTAAAAAGAGGATTTTGGAACACAAAATTATGGATGAACTTGTCTTTGGGCTGGGGAAAATCCTTCTTAAAAATGCTGGTTTTAAAAAACAACACTCCTCAGCAAGTGTTTCTGCAATGGTGGTGGCACACAAGCTGCCCCCACCCCGTTCCGAACCCCAGGCCTGCCCAGACTCAGAGATTCAGCTGGGCTGAGGCTGCCTTTCCCCAGATCCGCCTTGTCCCTTTAAAAAATAGTAAAATGCACATATATGGATGCAACATGTTCAGAATCTGCAAACCTGGAATGAATGTCAGCTATTGCCACAGATCAGACCACTTCCTTTGACCTCAGATCTTGCAACCCAAACTCGGGATCATAGGACTGCTCTCCCCAGAAAACACGTACTTGTAATACTAAAATTTCATGACAGTGATAATTCTTGTCATGTGCTTTCAAAAAGTGCATTTTGGAAAACTCCAGAGAACCAGTTCATCCGGTTACCGACAAGGCAGAGACTCTTCTGGGCGGGGGTGGCAGAAGTGACAGGAAGTTGCGGGCTGTGGCTGAGGGTTCAGTTTTCCTGTTTCTCTCCCGGAACTGCGGCAGCCCCACCTGGTGGCCTCGGTCGGTCAGCAAAGCCCTTCAAAGCAAAGCAGACGAGGCCAAGGGGCGCGACGGGCCCCGCTTCCAGAAACGAGTTCGGGAGCTCGGCACTTTCGCACCATCTCCTCGGTGGACAGGTCGGCTCCGCCGCATTCGGCTGGCGGATCACGGCTAGCGTGCAAGATATAAATCAAAATAAAAAGATATAAATCAAAATAAAATAAATCAAATAAAATATCCCCATGCCTTCTGCCCATACCGGCCTCCTGAGTTTCACACCACGCTTCCCAAAGTGTTGTTTGGCCTCCAGGCAGGGATTTCACCTAGTGAGACTCTGCAAGTGATTGTTCGGAGCCAGAAACATGCCCCCTTCCTGGGCCTCTGGGTGCCACTTCGGTGCAAAGCGAGGGTGCTGAGCCTCCGTCGAGCTGCCGGGCGCTCGGTTCGGGACGCGTCCCATGCGCGCCTCTCTTCCTCTGACCCACAGAGCCCCCCTCCCTCGGCCACGAAGTCGGCCTCACCTTCTACCTGAAGTACGTCGTCCCGCCCCTGGTTGTCGTGCTGCTGCTGCTCGGCCTGCTGTGCATGTACAGGCGGAAGCGAGGAGGAGGTAAGGCGTGCAGGTGGCGGGGCCAGCCGTCCCGGGGCCCCCGCCTCCCCACGGCTGGCAGGGTCCACCGCCCACCCTGCTCCCAGACCCTGGGGCCAGGCGCTGGAGTCAGCACACGGCAGCCCAAGCGCGGGGGAAGCGTGTTTATTAAAAGTCAAGAACACAGGACGGGGTGGAGGGTCTTAAAACATTATGGCACATGAGACACACGCGTGCACAACGAGGGTGGGGAAGGGGGCAGCAGCGTCACAGCCGTGGCTCCCCACAAGCCTCCGTGGGCCCCCTGGCCCCCTGGGACACGGAATTTATGTTTGTGAGCCGCCCCGAGGCTTCGGCGAATGGAGCGGCATAGAAATTTTCTAAATAAATAAATAACCACCCTGGGATGGAGCACCCGGCCTCTGCGTCCAGCGCTAGCCCTTCCCTCGCCAAGGAGCCCTCACCCTGTTCTCCACTGCAAGGAAGTGTCTAGCCTGGAAACGCCAGAAGTTTGTTCATCTCAGCTCTGCTCTGCCTTTGGGAAGCCCCACTCGGAAGCGAGCCTGCAAAACCTTCTCCCCTCCCACAAGCTGACAGTGTGAGATCCCAAAGGCGCCCCAGGAATTTCGCTTCGGCCCCTGGCACAGAGCGACCTTGCTCGGGATGAGCTCATTCACAGAGAGTCAAGACAGCCCAGCGCAAGGGTCACACTGAGAGCGGTTCCCGTCGGCCTCAAGCGGAAGCTTCCCTTGCGGGGATTTTGCTCCCCGAAGCCAGCAGACCGCATGTGAGCAGTGCCGGGCACCCCCAGCTCCATCGGCCCCTGCACAGAGTGGTCCCCATCCTTATAAACGGGGCCCGCAGAGTCCAGTGTGGGAACCTGTGGCCCGAGCAGCCAGCGAGACCCACGAGGCACCCACTCCTGAGCTGAGGTGACTGGGCTGCAGGAGGCTTCTTCAGCCCTCCAGCAATGGGGTGGCTTCCTCCACGGGGGCCGTCGGTATGAGCGGAACACCCTCACCTTTCCCTCAAAAGGGGCCCTGCTTGTGGCTTCCCTGATTTCACCATCAGAGCGTCCCAGACCTGGCAGTCGTCGCAACGACCACGACTCCCTGCGCACCTCCGCCCCCCCGCCCAGGTTTGCGTTCTCTACCATACTCTACTTTCTTACTTTGTTTCAAATGTTTGTGATTAAAAAAATATTTACAGAACAAATTAACCTTATTTACATTGAACCTTATGGGGAACTTTGACTTGGGTCACGACCAATTGAGTCCTGGAACGGATTAAGTTCGTGAGTCGAGGTACCACTGTATTTTTTGGAGTTTCTTCTCCATCATCTTCACTTGAATCCCCACTTTTGTAAAAGCTTTCTGACCTTCAGTTTTTATCTGCTTAGCAATAGGCTTTGTTTCTTCATTAATATACTTTCTCAACTCCCCTTTCAAGTGTTTAAATTCCTGAGACATTTTTTCATAATCTTCTTTCAATTCTTTCAGACATGAGTCCAAAATCTTTTAAAATGCTCTCATCATCTTTTTTTCAGCCTGAAGCTTCCTCCAATTTCTATTCACTCTCTGTACATGTTAACCTAGCAACCCTCGTCAGGCTCAAATCGGATGGTCTTCTTATTTCATGTGTCCAGACAGAATAAGTCATAAATTGTGGTTGTCGACGTGACATCAATTATTTGAGACCAACAAATCAGTGGTCCCAGTTATGTCTCTCATACTTTAAGCCAAGGGTCCTCAGACTCCTTCACCAGGGGCCAGCGGAGAGCTGCGGGCGCTGGGTGCGGGCCAGGGGGGCGGTGCGGGCGGTGTGCGTGGGCCGGTGTGTGCGGCTGCGTGCGGCGAGGGGAGGCGGGCGGGAGCAGGCACATGCCGCAAGGTGGAGCACGAGGGGGCGGCTCGCCTCACCCACCGCTGCCTCCCCGGGCAGGGGCGAGGTGGGCGGCGGGGGCAGGCGTGCGAATGGGCGCAGGCGCGCACGCGGCAGGTCCGAATGGGCATGGCGGCCCGGATAAATGGGCATGGCGGGCCAGATCCAGCCCCGGGGTCGAGGTTTGAGGACCCATGCTTTAAGCTCTAATCCAACAAATTCAAAATGGCTATGTATCATTCATCCAGCAGAGGGAGCTCTATAACCATATTGGATCAATGGCTTCTCTGTTTTTTTCCCCCTTTCTCTAAACTCAACAATCAAAGTCAGTAGCTCAGGAATATTTGCTTGCTTGTTTGTTTGTTTAGTCACAAAGTCGTGTCCGACCCATCGTGACCCCATGGACAACATTCCTACAGGCCTTCCTGTCCTCCACCATCCCCCGGAGTCCACGCAAGTTCACACCAACCCCACCTCATCCTCTGCCGTCCCCTTCTTCTTTTGACATCTATTGTCCCCAGCATCAGGCTCTTCTCCAGGGAGTCCTTCCTTCTCATTAGGTGGCCAAAGTATTTGAGTTTCATCTTCAGGATCTGGCCTTCAAAAGAGCAGTCGGGGTTGATCTCCTCAAGGACTGACCGGTTTGATCGCCTTGCAGTCCAAGGGACTCGCAGGAGTCTCCTCCAGCACCACAATTCAAAGGCTTCAATTCTTTGGCACTCAGCCTTCCTTATGGTCCAGCTTTCACAGCCATACGTTGCCACTGGGAAAACCAGAGCCTTGACTATAAGAACTTTTGTCGGCAGGGTGATGTCTCTGCTTTTTAGTATGCTGTCTTGATTTGCCATAGCTTTCCTCCCCAGGAGCAGGAGTCTTTTAATTTCTTGGCTGCAGTCCCCATCTGTGGTGATCTTGGAGCCCAGGAAAATAAAATTTGTCACTACCTCCATCTCTTCCCCATCTATTTGCCAGGAAGTGAGAGGACCAGATACCATGATCTTAGTTTTCTTAAAGCTGAGTTTCAAGCCAACTTTTGCATTCTCCTCCTTCACTTGCATCAAGAGGCTCTTTAGTTCCTCTTCACTTTCTGCCATTAGAGTGGTATCATCTGCATATCTGAGGTTGTTGATATTTCTCCTGGCAATCTTAATTCCAGCTTGTGATTAATCTAGCCCTGCCTTTCTCACGATGTGCTCTGCATATAGGTTAAATAGGCAGGGCGACAGTAAACAGCCTTGCCGAACTCCTTTCCTAATTTTAAACCAACCAGTAGTTCCGTGTCTAGTTCTCACTGTTGCTACTCTGTTCCCTTTTTTCTTAGCACAATAGTCATTATTGATGGCTTTTAAATATCCATGTAAATACATATACAGTAGTCCCCTGAAATTTGTGGGGGTTATGTTCCTAAAGCACCCGTGAATTGTGAAAAACTGGGAATTTGGTGCCGGTGATGGGCGCGGCCCCCGAGGCGGTGTGGGCGGGAGACATGGGCCGGGCCAGGCTGGAGGGCAGGCGCGCATGCGTGGCGAGGCGGGGCGAGGGCGAGGGCGAGGGCAGGCGCGCAGAGATCGTTTTCTCCCAGCGAGTCCAAACTCGGAGGAAACTATCTCCTTGCGCATAAGCCGCCGCATGGCGAGGCGCCAGCTTACTCGCAAGGAGATTGGCTTGGACTCGCTCGGAGAAAAATCCCATGAAAGACTGAAGCCACGAACGCTGAACCGCGCCTTCACAGGGGTATACCGTAGGCCTTTATATCACGCTTATTTTAGGATTCAAGTTCACTGAACGATTTAAGCAATTGAGAAGAAGCTTTCAGTCGCCTTGAGTCCCGTAATCGGTGTTTACCGTGTCCTTCTCGGCAATGCAGCTGTGCCTGGTCCAAAAATATTAAACTGCTGAAACTATTACAGTGGCGCCTTGGCTCACGAACTTAATCCGCTCCAGGACTCTGGTCGTGACCCAAACTGGTCGTGAGCCAAGTCAAATCTCCCCATAAGGTTCAATGTAAATAAGGTTAATCTGTTCAGCAGCCATTTTTTTAATCACAAAAATTTGAAACAAAGTGACAAAGAACAACAAAGATGGAGGCCATCTCCCCCCCGCCCCCCCACCCCCCCGAGCACAACTGCAATAGCGCAGGGAAGACGGGTGCGATCGCGATCGCCACCCGATGCGGAGTTCGTGACCTGAGGCGAAATGTTTATGAAATTTCTGTTCACAGCCCGATTTGGTCATGAACAGAGGCGTTCGTGAGCCGAAGTACAACTGTACTTTCTGTAAGTCTCATTAATTAGCTTTAAATTTTGAAGTTCTTTCTCACAGCTGTTTTTCAACATAGTCACCATCCCAATCACAGAAGCTGAAGCTATAGAAACATGGAACACGGAAACAGAGCGAGTCAGAAGGGGTCTCCTGGGCCATCCAGTCTGACCCCCGGCTCCAGCCGGCTTCGCTCAGGACATGCTTACCAGGTGCATGTCCAAGCTATATTCATTTCAATTGGGAATTTAAAATTTGAATTTATTTACAGTCTTTGAATCAGTACCTCCTTATTAAAATCTTCTCAGGCAGCAGGATCCGTCTCCTTCAAATCACGTCAACAACCATCTATTACCTCCGGGTTACTCTTGTTAACCTGAATGAGGCACTAGGAACTTTCTTCGCATGGTCTGATCACGGCCGTGGACCAGCCCATCCCTACCGGGGGCTGCACGGTGCTGCCCCGGCAAAGATGCCAGGACTGGGGGCAGCCCTGAGAGAAGACGGGCGCCAGCCATTCCTAGACCTTCTCTGGCATCTCTAGAAAAGCAATATCACCATGATTAAACAAGGCACAAACACATCTGAAGGTATTTGGCCCACATCTGAATTTGAAATACCTGCTCTCTTTTTGACACAGGAAGTCACAACAGCATCGAATCCATCAATGAATCTTCAGGTATGAAAATGTGCAAGTGATACTATTAATCATTATTAACTGAACTTTATCAAGAAGAAAAGGCCACACTTTCTCCAGAAGTGTTGCCTAGAGCTGCATTTTAAAATGGCCCCCTCACTGTATTTGGGACTTTGGTATCTCTCTCTCCTTTCAACATTAATTTTAAACTTGTTGCCACTTTTAAAGTAAAATATTTCTGTTCTTGGCTTGACAGTGTTTGCTTGGATTGTATGTGCTGATCTGAGTGAGGGTTGTAACTGCAGATCAACACATAAATGGAGCACATGGCGGGCCTGCCGTGAGCGGAGCCGGCTGGAGCCAGGGTCAGACCAGATGGCCTGGGAGGCCCCTTCCGGCCCGTCTGTCTCTGTGTTTCTAAATGTGTCTGACACAAATCGGAACACGCTTCCTGCACGTGGCAGTTCCTTTACTGGAGCTTCTGTAAAGCAAGCAAGGGGTGAGAAGATACCCAGAGGGTTCCTTGTAGTATCCCTGCTAATTCTGGACTCTGGTTTGCAGATTCTGATGATGCTGACGACAACCCTGCAGTGCTGGATCAGCTAGCCTCCCCCACTCAGGTAACTTGGCCCTCTTGTGCTCCAGGGCAGGGGAAAAAGAGCAGCTTCATTTCCAGGAAGAGCAGTCTCTGGTGCAGCACTCTGAGTGCGATGCTGGACTTGTGAGAGCTGGGACATATTTAGACCAGGAATGGAGGCCCCAGAAGGCGGCAGTGGGCTTGTGGGCCACTGGCCCAGTTTGCCTGGAATGAATGAGCCCGCTGTAAGCTGGCCCACCAAAGGTTCTCCTTTGAGCTAGGAAGAGCTCCCACCAGGGTTCCTGTGGCCGCGCTGGTGACCCCTCGCCCCTCCAAGACTTGCTCTCCTGGGTCTCTCAGACTCTGCTAGACCATCCAAGGGTCGCCATCACTGTTGAAGAGACTTGGCGGACTTCCGACCCAAGAGAAGACTGGAGCCGTTCCTGCTGGCAAAGCTCTTGGCTTGACACCTACAGAATCATCTGCATTCCATGCAGCTTCCCTGTTTGGGCAAGGGGCCCTTTCCATAGATGGCTTTGTAATTCTTTCCTTCTTCCTGGATTGCAGGGCTTAACATCTATTCCGGAGACATCCCTGGAGACAATGGAAACATGCCCCATCGAGGAGGATCCGGTTGTCTCGGATCAGCCCCCAAGCCAAGCCTGATTTTGCTCTGAACTCTCGCATCGAGCCTGGCAAAGCCCTTTGGACCGGCATGTTGGGGCGTGGCTGGCCTTCCCAGCAGAGGACCTGCAGCTGGGCCGGCTCGTGCGACAGGACTTCTCTGCTGCTTAGTTCTCTGCAATACCCTAACCAAGAGCGGCCCACTAGTCCTTTGGACAGAGGCCAGCGAAAGCGTTTCCACACGTCTGAAAGTCACACAGCACCAGGTGCCCCGGCCGTTCAAGCTTGGCTTTCCTCTTCTTCATCCATGAAATCAGTCTCATTATTTCCTACAAAGTCCTGTTTCTCTTGAGCAATGTCAAAGGGAAGCATCTCCAAGTTAAATGAAATTGCAATATTCTCTTTCTCCTTCAGTGGTAAGTTTAATCTAAACATTTCTGGACAATTCAAACTCTTTTCAAAATCTTTTCAATCATTTCAAGTTTAGTAATATCTCTACATTTTCCTCATCCATTCTTTAGTCCATTGTTCTAATTGCCTAACATTAAACCAGATCAATTTTTCTCTTCCTAATACCACCTTTATCCTTTCCTTGTTATTCATTTTCCCCTACCAATATTTTAACCTAAAAACATGTTTTTCCTCTCTCAAACTACTTCTCAAGTTTTCTGGAAATCCTTCAGTTTCTGTGACTATGATTAATGGTGAGATTGTCAGCATACCTTTTTCTGTATACTTATCCCAAATTTGCCCCATATTCTTAAGAAAGGGGTTTTCTATGTTTTTTCACAATCTTCTTGTCATCCTGTTTTGTTTTTGTTTTTTAAGGTTTAAAAGGAATCCAATTTGTTGTTCTTTTTCTGCCCATACTGTAATATGTTTGGTATACATCTTATTTGATTAGCTGCATAATATAATTTGATATTCAGAATACCCAATCCTCCCATTTTTTGTGGTTTATACCATCTTTTCTTGCTAATCTTCATTTTCTTATACCTGTTACAAAATATGTTAATCATATTTTTCCAATCTGCCAAATCTTTTCTGAATACCTTAATCAGTAACACTCTAAACAAAACATTTATCTTAGGTAAAAGTTTTGTTTTACATATTGCTATTCTACCAAAACATCATAATCCTATTTTCCTAAATGGATGCATTTTGCTTTTTATTTTGGATTTCAATATATCAAAATTATTCTTTTTTAAATATTGGAGATTTATTGAAATGTTTATACTTGAGTATTTGAGGAGAGACTGAGGGAACTGGGCATGCTCAGCCTGGAGAAGAGAAGACTGAGGGGGGACATGGTATCCCTCTAGAAGTACCTCAAAGGCTGTCACAAAGAGGAAGGTCAAGATCGCTTCTTTCTGATGCCAGAGTGCAGGACACGGAATAATCAGTTCAAGTTGCAACAACCCAGATTCAGGCTGGACGTCAGGAAAAGCTCCCTCACGGTCAGAGCAACACGACAGTGGGACCAGCTGCCCGGAGAGGTGGGGGGGCTCTCCCACACTGGAGGCATTCAGAAAGAACCTGGGCAGCCACCTGAGTGGGATGGTGTGAACTGGTGTCCTGCAACAGCAGGGGGTTGGACTTGATGGCCTTCATGGCCCCTTTCAGCTCTGCCATTCTATGATTTAATAATTTTACATATCTTCATTTGAAATTTGTTCTTAATTCCCTCCAGTTCTTCATTATTGAAATTAAACAGCATCATTTCAGTTTTATACTAATTAATCTGTAGACACATTATCTCTCCAAATTCTGCTAAATTAATGTTAATATGAACCATAACTTTAGGTGGGTCCTTTATACTTAACAATATATAATCAGCAAATAATCTTAATTTTATTCCTAAATCTAATATCTTTTATGATATTACCATTTCTAATACTAATTGCTAATAGTTCCATAATTAAAGTAAACATTATTGGAGAAAGAGGGCATCCTTGTCTAGAACATAGAAACATAGAAACAGAGCGAGTCACAAGGGGTCTCCCAGGCCATCTAGTCTGACCCCCGGCTCCAGCCGATTCCTCTCAGGATATGCCTGCCTACCATGTGCATGCCCAGCCTCTCTCCGGTGGGGCCTCAAGCACCTTCCGTGGAAGCCCATTCCATGCCCTCGGGGTCCCAACCATCAGGAAGTGCTTCCTGGCATCCAAATTGAACCTTGGTTCCCTGAACTTTGCTCCTTTGGAGCGCGTCCTGCCCTCCTTCACAGGGGAAGGAGCCACCTCTGCGTGGCACCCCCTCACGTACCTGTATGTCGCCAGCAGCCCCCCTCCAGGTCTCCTCCTCTCGAGGCTTCCTCAAGACCCAGTTCCCTCAGCTTCCTCAGTACCTCGGCCTAAGGATATTTGTTCTGGTAGACCATAATTAACGATCACAGTCGCAAAACTTTCTCAATACAATTAGTTTATTACACCTTTAAATCGTGTTCTAGGTCCTAATAGCTCCATCAACATCTTTATTGTGGGGCATTCCACACAAGCAGAAGCTTTGGAAATGCCCAATGCTGTCGCAGCCACTTTTAGCCTTTCCTGACGTGACTTCAGCCACGTCTAATACTCTCCTGGTCAGCTCCTCCTTCCGTCTCTCTGCTAACCCCCCCCCCATTCGCCTTGATATACTTACCAATAAAATTACTCAATATCTTTGACAAGTATTAGTGTAATCTTTCATGTCTTGATTTATCAAGGATATAGGTTTACAATCCCCAGGATTATAGGATCTGTCAGATCTTTCTTGGTTTTGGAATCAAAACTGTTGAGGAATATTTCCAGGGTGCTGGCATCTTTCCTCCTTCCAATATATTAGTAAAAAGAGATTTTAATTTTGGTACCAGCATCTTTTAAGAAGCCTTCTAAAACTCTGTTCCTCAGCCAGCCCTTCCAGGAGCTTCGACTACTTTTAGGTTATTGATGCCACTTGACCTGCTGCAGCTTCGTCTTCAAGCGAGCCCCTCGCTTGCCTTCTCGGCACGGTCTGCCACCCGCTCATTGGTGCTGTGAGAGTTTCTCTTGGACTCCAATTATGGCCCTCCATCGTTAGCTCATTGTAAAGCAGAAGCAGTGGCTGCCCCCACCAAGAAGCGACACAAGCGGGGGGGAGACCTGTGTTGTTTGGGTGTAGCTCCCATCATCCCCCACCATTGGCTGTGTTGACTGGGACCCATGGGAACTGCATCCCACCAACACCCTGGAGTGCCTCCGTTTCAACCAATGTGAGATTTACAAATGTCAACATCCAGCAGGCACGCATTTGAACTGCACTACTTCTGGAATGTTTACGCAACACATTAAACCTATATCCCCCAAAAAACAAATAATGCATTTTCCCACTTAGTTATAATTAATTACGTTTGGAGTTAACCCACATTCTTAGTTGTCGTTGTACCCGTGCCTTTGTCCCGACGTTCCAGTGCCGTTCCAGGGGGCATTAGGGACACGGGGGTGACACGCGGAGCCCTGCTGGAGTTGCCACCCTGGGTTTGCTCCGGGGGGGCTGGCAGTTAAGCCCCTCGTGGGGTGGGGAGGGGGGGCACTTCTTACCTCTGGCGCTGCTGCTGCCCCAGTTTGGTGCTGTCCGGCCGTGGTGGACCACAGTGGGTACCCCTCTCGGTCAGCACGGCCGTGCCGAGCGCTGTGGTCCCACACACCCGGGGGAGGCCAGCTTGAGCAGGGCTGATGCGCCACGAGCCAAGGGTGCGCGTGAACACGCCGGGTTGCCACGTGCTGCTGGGCCAGCGGCCTCACTCGCCCACCAGGGTCATCTTGAGCGGGCGATCTGCGCAGTTCTGGCAAACCCCACAGACTTTAAGCGGGTGCCCGAGGGTGGCAGTCGCAGGGCCCCGGGGGCCGTGTCCCCTGTGCTGTGCAGAGGGCCGGCGCCAGGAGGGGCCTGCGGACAGGTTCCATGCGGCACATCTGTGCAGCAACATCACCCCGTGCGGAGGATCCCGTCCGATGCCCCCCGACGCACAGCCGGCCAGGGGCATGGCCCCCAGGCAAACCCCGGTGCCCTGCTCGACACCCCAAGGGTCTTCCTTGGAGCTCCTCTCCATTTTGGTGGGGGTCCCCCATCAGTACACGACCACCAAGTGGCGCGCAGCACACCGGAACCGCCCTTTCCGTTTTTCCAGCATGTGGCATCCAGCCTTCCCTGCTCCAGATGTGCGACCCATCATCCCCAGCTAGCAAAGCCACTTGAAGACATGAAATAATCAAGTCAAGCTGTAACAACCCAGATTCAGGCTGGACATCGGGAAAAGCTTCCTCGTTGTCAGAGCAACACAGCAGTGGGACCAACTGCACGAGTCACACACTGGAGACATTCAAGGGGAGACTGGGCAGCCCTGGGTGGGATGGTGCGACTTGGTGTCCTGCAACCATCGGGCGGGGGGGACCCCCTGGCCCCTTCCAGCTCTGCTCTTCTAGGATTCTATGACCCTGGTCAGGGCGCTTGCTCGGTGGCCCTCGATGGGCAGCAGGGCCTATTGTCCCTCCAGGCTCCTGCAGACTGGCCGGTGATCTGCCGCCCGCCAGCAGGTGCTCATCCCGCCTCCATCACAGGCAGCTGTTGCTGAAGGGCGTGCGAATCCAGCCCTCCCCAAGGCGGTGCCCCCGGTGGGTCCGACAGCAACCTCTGCAATTCCCAGCCAGCAGGACCGCCAGCTACCCCATGGAGTGCGCAGGTTGCGCAGCTGCCTGGAAGCGAGCAGCGGCACAGCGAGCGATGACGTCGGCCTCGGAAGGGCAGTTCCGCAGGACAGAAGGTTGCCACCCGACAGCCTCCATCCTCCCTCCGTGAGGCAGACCAGCAGAGTTAATGCTACCGGCCGCTCTTCCCTGCACCTCTATGTAACCTGCTGCCTTTTCTTTCGGCAGCTTCGGCAACCCTCAGAGATGTGTCCTTCCATTGCACTGGGTTCCTGATCATACCGTAACTTAGAAATGTCGCCAGGTGCGTTTAACTTCCACTGGGAAGTGCGGCTGGCTGAACCATAAAGAAATATCTCATCCCCAGACTTCTCTTGCCCATTTTAGCAGGAACTAATGAACGAAAAAGAAAGGGAATACCGAAGATCCAAAAAGGGTTTATTTTATTTAAAAATGTACAGTTTTACTTCCTATATTTATGAAAAAAACCTTACTAACATTGCAATAATGCTTAGTACCACTGCAAACTGTAAAAAAAATTATATATTAAAAAACAATTTACATTTTACAATTTTCTACACGCATGCACAAGGTTTACAACTCTGTCTTAAAAATAAAGAACAAAACCAAAACAAAAATATTTTCCTAGATTCAGTGTGTGTGTTTTTTGAGGGTGGGGAAACAAGGTCTCTATTCTACACTTTTTGTTCAAATGAGTTTTGTGTCAGTGAAGCTAAATTCTCTTGAAAAATCACACTTGTGATAAAAGCCAACTGAGTTGTATTTGTGATAATGTGGAACGGCAGTGAGGTCACATTCGGAAGGCCAGAGCTGGACCCGTGTGGACGGACCAAGGGAAGGCGCAGACTAGCAGCAGGGCAGGGCCAGAGCACGAAGGGCGGATCGAGTGCCGGCTGGGTTCTTCCCAGGGAGACGCCGCGGAGGGCGCTCCACGGCGCTGCCCGCGTTCCCCGCAGGACGGCCCCAGCGGCTGTGGAAGGCCACGTGGCCACGCAGCCGTGAGGAGCGCGTGCTGGGGTGGCCCAAGAGGCCCTCGCAGTGCACGCGGCTCCACGGCCGCCCAAAGGTCAGGGCAGGCCTCCCTCCCTGGGGCTCACGGGCAGCGGCGCCTCGCTGCAGCGCCATCTCCACGCGACCGAGCGGCCCTCACAGGCCTCAGGCATCGTGTCCGCCAGGGCCGATGGGGGGGGGGGGACTCGTGTCTGAGCAGCTGAGAGAAAAAGAGCAGTCCTGGGGTGGAAGATGAGAAAGGAGGCAATGGCGGCGGGGGGGGTGCTGCCATAAAATTGGGCAGCTTCACTGGGGCCAGCCAGGGGAATGCTTCCCACCCTTTCCACAGGTGTCTCAGGGCTGTGTCAATGGGGGGGGGGGGTCCTCTGGCACAGCTGGCTTCGGCCACGGGCAAGACGGCCCCCCATTGCGCTGCTTGCTTGCCCGCCCCAGTGGGTGCTGCTTGCCGCCCCAGGAGGCGTTACGGCAGGGACCGCGCTGCAGAGGCTCCCCGCTGTCCGCCCAGGCGAGCCCGCCGGTCGCAGCTGCACTTTCGCCGCCCCTTTCAGTTTCGAGTGACGGCCTCCGGCCTCTCAAGGTGCCCCTCGCCACACGTCCCGCATGAAATCACGCCGGGGAATTTTAAAAGTGCTTCACTGTCACTAGGTCAGGCCCCGAGTATTAAAAATAAATTTTAAACAATCAAATGTAAAGTGTAAAACAGAATCGTGAAAGTCACAGTGGTGCAACCCGGCATCCTTGCTCCAACGCCTAAAGCAGAACCGATCCCAGGAGAAGGCCCCGTCCGTCCCGAAGCAGCTCCAGCACCCGCCCGCCAGCTCGAGAGTGACCCAAGCATTCCCCTGTTTTGTTGTTTAAGGTAGCATTTAAACACAATTAGATAACGTGAAATTGCAGCACGGCCGCAGAAAGAACCCCGGCAGGAACATGCCCAGGGTACTCCAGGAGCAGTGGCAGAGGAGGGAAAACCCACTCATGGGGCACTGAAGGGCCAACAAGACTTGCACCTCCGTCAGTCGGGGAAGCCGGCCGATCAGCGCCGGCGCCTCCCAAGGGCCCTGGGTGCTGGTGGAACTCACAGAGACTCGAGGCTCCTTCCCAGTCGAGGGGAGGGCGGCCAGTGCGGCTGACCACGGGCGGGCAGCAGGCTTTCTTCTTTCCAGAGCTGTTCAAGAGGGACAGCTTCCCACAACAAGGGAAGGCCTTCAGTTACCCGACTCTTACACAGGACCAAATTCTCCAAGCCCATCTCGGGTTTTAAAAAAAACCCGAGATGGCAAAGCTCTGAGACAAGCCAGGAGAGAGAGGAAGGGAATTCCAGAGCTCTGTCGCTGGTGGCTGTTTCTGGGGGGGCTCCAAGGGCCTCCACCAATGCCCCCCACTCCCACTGAGAAGGCAGTTCCCCTGCAAAGGCCCCACGAAAACGAGCGGGCGTGCCGTCCGTCTTGGGCAGCTCCCACTCATTTCCAAGGGGGCTTGCAGAAAAGACATCCCGGCAAAGCCGGGCTCCAGAAAGGGGCCGTTTCCTATTTCACACCAAAGTCTTCTAGAACGCTACAGCATTCAAGTCAATGCAAGGCTCAAACCACAGCGAAGTCAAGGAGCAACTATTTACAACACACGGGATTTCTTAAAAAGTACAGGAATTGGTATCTTAAAAGTCACCATTTTAAAAATTTACCAAAAAAACTTCCCACGTGTATCTTTGTGTGTGTTTACAAAGGTGAGCTGGACAAAGACACCAGAAAAAATTGGAACAGGATGTTTGTGTACCGGACTTGCTAAAACGGGAGGCCCCGCTGGCTTAGTTCTGCATGTGCTACATACGCAGGGATGGAAAGTTTTTAAAACATAGCAGCCACCGCCTACCACCAATAGGCATTCCTCTTTCGTAATGCTCCACAAAGTCTTGTGCAAGTTGTGTCGGAGCTCAGAGATGGAGAGAGACCAACAGCATCGGGATGGCGTGTCAAAGGCCAGAACTGTGAGGTTAGCTGGTTTGCAGGTGGTTGTTTTTTCTTTTTCCAAAAAGGACATTCAGAAAGGTCCCTCAACCCCAACTGTGTTTGGAGATGCTGGTGAAGACAGTGAACGGAACTAGCCCTTAGGATTTGGCACCAAAACTTTCAACTGGATCCCTGGGGTGGGGAGGACAGCAGATACCCCACCCCGCCCTCTGCAAACCTCCTGAGCGCCTGGAGGGTGTAACAGAACTGGGACTGGACTGCATGGAAACTGGGAGGCACAGGAAAGGAAGCCCCCCCTCGTCAGATGGCACTGTGAAGAACTTGCGAGCGGAACGGAGCGGGCCAAGCGGCCAACGCTGACCTCTGAAGACACACAGACAGAAACGAGAGCGCCAGGCAGGCCCTCGCCGGGCTTGGCAGCCTCGCCCAACCCCGGAGAGGCGGATTTCGTGCGCCAGGCCGCTCCGCCGCACAGGCGGCCGTTCCCTCGCAGTGAAGCCCTCCCCTCTGCGCCACCTCACACGGAGGTCTCTGACTGAAGCCGCATCACAAACTTGTGCGACTTGGGGTCCACAAACTCCTCCGAGAGCTTGAAGAAGGGGATCTTCTTGGTGCTCACGACCAGACTGAAGTCGTGGCGCTTCAGGACAAAGACCACCCCGTCCTTCAAGCCGTTGGTCACGGGCTCCTCGCTGACCAACGTCCACTGCTTGGCCAGCCAGCGGTCCTTGTGATACTGGATGGTGGGCCCGGCGGTCAGGTAGCGCTCGAGGAAGGCCTGTGAAAGGAGAGGCGGCCTCAGGGGGACACCAGCGCGGGGTGGTGGAGCGCCAGGCCACACCGCGCGTGCCGCCGCCGTCGGGAAAGCTTTTCGCCTTGGCCACCGCACGGAGACCCAGCGGGTCACCCTCCGGCTGAGCAGCGGGCGACCCGAGTGGAGGAGGCCCTCTCCACCAAGCGCAGAGCCGAAAGGCAGGATCTGCTGCCCCAGGGCGGCATGATGGCTGCCAACCGGGACGGCTGGAAGGGGGGCTGGAGGAACTGCAGAGGGGGAGAGGCTGCCCGCGGCCGCCAGACCTGCAGCCAAAATATTTCCGGCAAGAGCAGCGTTAAGCGGCTGGGAAATGCGACCGCAAGGGGGCTGCCGCGGCCACTTCCCAGGCAGCCGCTTGGTTGCCGGGTGGCCTTTGTGCCTGGCTCATGAGCTTCTGCCTGGCCGTCAGGACGCCAGACTCTCCTTGGCCCAGTCCTTCAGGCCTCAAAGCTCGCCCCCAAATCTAGGAAGCTCCGCTGCGCCGGGGGGGGGGGGCAAAGGGGCACGTGTGAGCCCTGCCCCCCAGGCCCCCGCCCAGCCCTGCCCCCACCTTGGGCGTCATGTCGTGGGTGATGCAGAACTCCAGGTGCTGCAGGATGCTCTCCATCGTGTGGTACGGCTGCTGCTTGGTGGTGCGCAGGTACTTCTGCATGGCCCGCGCCATGGAGGCGAAGATGGCCTGGGCGGCTTCTCGCGGGTCCATGATCTCCCGCGGGTTTTTCTGGTCCTCCTCCTGGAGCCGCTTGATGTGCGTGAAGGCCTCCTCCACGGCCACCACCAGCCTGCCGGGACGAGAGGAGCCACGGGGCTGAGCAGGGGATGCCCACGGCCGCCGCAGGGCTGGGCGGAGGGAGCAGGCCAGAGAGCGGTGGCGCTGGCCGTGGAGCAGCTGTCGGCCCGGCGGGGACAGCCATGCTGCGCGTCTGGCAGCGTGTCGTCCCCCAGAGTCTGCTGGGCAGCTTCTGCGTGGGGCCGGGCACAGCTGGGGCTTCGTGTGGCCAGGGGGAGGCAGAGGCCAGAAGGAAGGGGGCGGCCTGGGAAATCCAAGGCACTGAGGGGTGCCTGAGGGGGTGATCCAGGGCCGGCCAGCCCTCTGGCTCGAAGGCTGTTCTACTTGAGCTCACCCCCTACCCCAGGTCTGGACCTATCTGGCTGGGACAAGGAGCCCACCCCACAAGGTGTCCTGGGCTGCCCCATGTCAGGTGGGAGATGCCCACCTCAGGCTAAAGGCGAACCCACGTCACGGGGGAGCCCCCGTCGGGGAGGCTCGCCTGCAACTGGAACGTGGCCTTGCCGCAACCGCCCCTGGTCTCGGGCTACTGGCAGCGCCACTCGGCACACGGGAGCGCCACGGCGCACGGAGGCGACAGGCCTGCCCTCTGAGGATCCGGCGACGCACGCTTCCGCGCAGTGGGACACGCTGCCCCCGCCCCCGCAGGCCCTCGCCCGCCTCCCCAGGGGACCTACCTGGCCCTCCGCTTGCGCACCCGGCGCTCGTGCTCGGCCTCCTCGTAGTAATACTCATTGTGGCTGTTGTCCCGCCTCCGGGCAGCTGCGGCGATCACAGCGCGGGACTGGCTGGTGGAGTTGTTGGTTGTGTTCTCTGGGGGGGGGGGAGCGTGTGGCAGCAGGGGGGTTACCGGAGCCTTCCGGGTGGAGCCACACAGAGCACCACGGCCCCCGTTGTGCCGCAGCCAACCCGGCCCACAAGCCCTTCAGTGACTCCGCAGCCAGCAGTGGCGGCCTGTGGCCCCCCAGGGGTGGAGCACGGAGCCCACCCCCGGGAGCAAAAGAGGCGCTGCCACGCCTGCCGCTCGCCGCCTCTCCTCTGCGCACAGGAGAGCGGGACACCCAGGGAGGCGCTGGGCAGGCGGCAGGAGGGCCAGCCAGAGGGAGGGACGGGTGGGCACCTCTTTCCCTGCTCGCACATCCTCTGACCGCCTGCTCCGTGCGGCTGAAGGAGAACGCCCTTGCTTGCGGTCGGCTCCTTGCCTTACGCACTTGCTTGAGGGGTGGGTGACAGAGGCAATTCCGAGCAGCTCTGCTCCGCCCCCTCACCTGGCTTGGCCTGATCACTCTCAACCCACACAGTCGCTGCAGCAAAGAGAGCACGGGAGCGGCGGGGAAGCCCTGGGAAGCTCGCAGAGCTGCCCTTCCGCACAGCGGATCCGTCCCTGGGATCTCCGCTGGCAGGAAGCAGAGAGACACTGGCCCCTGGAGATCCCCGGTGAGCCACTTCTGGCCTTCCAAACGCTTGGCCAACACCTCCCTCGGCCCTGGCCGGTACTGAGGGATTATGGGAGCTGGAGGCCAACACACTGGGAGGGCCAGAAGCGGCCCGGCAGTGGGCAGAGCGCGCCTGGCTGGCTGGAGCACCGCCCTCGGCATCAGCGGGTGCTTCCCCGCACACAGCAAGGACACAAGCAAGCTCACCTTCGCCGAGCGAGTACACCTTGAACCCGGACATCTTCTTGGACAGGACCGACTTTGGCAGGCTGAGGAGGGCAGGGTTGTAGACTGGGAAGTCGTGGTAATAGTTCTCCAGGATCCACACCGCAACACGCTGGATGCTGCAGGGAGAGGCGGAAGAGAGGCGGCTCGGAGGTATTTGGAGACGAGAGGGGCATTTGATCCTGGACTCTGCTCAGGTTTGGGTTTCTGGTTCCACGGCAAGGACAGCAACACCTGATTCATTCATTTATTCTAAATAGTTTGTGTACTACCTGTCAATAAATACTTCCAAAGCTGTTCCCATTTTTTCAAAGACCAAGAACAGCCACAAGAGCAACAGAAGCGTAGAGTCGGAAGGGGCCGGCGGGCCACCAGGCCCAAGCCGCTGCTCGGGCATCCCTCTCGGTGGCTGCCCGGCTGCCTCCCGCGGGGCCCCGGCTTCCCCCGGGCAGGTGCCCCTTCCGCTGGCTGACTGCGCGAGCAGCCAGGAGTCCCAGTGTTCGGACGGGACCTGACTCCGGCTTTCCGGAACCTCCGTGTCCTGCGCTACGGGATGGTTGTGAAGAGACCCCGGCCCTCCTCTTTGTGACAGCCTTTCAGGTACTCGTGGAGAACCTCTGGAGTATCCGCTCTCTCCTCAGTCTTCCCTTCCCCAGGCTGAGCCTGCCCAGTTCTCGCCATCTCTCCTCACAGGGCTCTGCCTGCAGTCCCCGGATCGCCCTTGCTGCCCTCCTGCGAATGCTTCCCAGCCTCTCTGGGCCTTTCTTAAACGCGATTCCCAGAACTGGAAGATCTCACAGCATGAAAGGATCCGCCTGGAAGGATGGAGACTCCCAGGAGGCCCTGGCAGGGAGCTGGAGACGCCTGGCGCCAGCCCCGCCGCCAGTGGCAATGCTGCCCGGGAGGCCCTCGCCCGCTCCGCAGGGCGCTGGCCGCAAGGAGCCTGTCCCAGGCAGAGGAGGGCTGGCGGCCCCTGCAGGCGGAGAGTCCCTCTGGCAGAGCAGGCGCTGTCCGGGCCCCCAGACCGCAAAGGGGCCACGGCCACGGAGGTGGCTCGAGGGGCTTGGCAAAGGGGGAGGCAGGCGGCGCCCAGACACCACCCGCACCTCCTCCAAAGCACTCACTTGCAGCACCGCCGGGAACCGGTTTTGCAGCAATCCCAGCTGCCAGGAGGCCTGCTGGAAAAACCACGTGGGGGACCAGGCAGCTGGGTGGGGGGTGAGGAAGCCGCTGATCCCCCGGGCCTCCCCTGGGCCACTCGCGGCAATCCAGAGCCCGAGCCCTGGGGGCACCCCCGGCACTCGCGGGCCGCTCTTGGCAGGGAGCTCTGGGCGGCGGGCGAGCAGCGCTCTCTGGCGTGGCTGGTCCAATGGCAGCTGCTGCCGCACCAAGGATGCGGGCCGTGTGAAAAGCAGCCCCAGCCGCTGCTCTGCCCCACTTCCTTGGGGCCGCTGCAGAGGGCTCGGGGAAGGCCGCTGGGGGAGCCACCGGGCCCCCTGGAACGTCTGCAGGCCTCCCCAGGGCACTGCTTGCTCCGGAAGACCAGCCGCCCCCCCGAGCGCCTCAAGAGGCAGCCCCGGACGCTCGGAGGGGCAGGTGCTGCCAGACCCGCCCCAACGCTACGCGCCGACCACACCGCCAGTCCGGAGCTGAGCGAGGGCAGGTGCCTGGGAGGCGGAGGCGGGCGCTCCTTTGGGCTCCCACGGTGCCACCCACACCGGGAGCCCGAGGGAAGCCGTGCCAGCGGCCCTGGCGCAGAGGGCCAGGGCCAGCCCAGCAGCGGCGCATCATGGCCCCCCTCGGGTGCTCCCCGAGGCCGCCTCAGTCCCAGCAGGGCCTGGCGCGCCCCCTGCAGGCAGCGCCCCCGGACCCCAGCCCGCGAGGAGCAGTGCGCGGCCCCCGCCCCGCCGGCCCCGCTCACCTGAGGTGGCCAACGTTGTAGAAGCGGCTGGCCCCGTCGGTGGAGCGCACCACCTTGAGGGTGAAGTGGGGCTGCAGCTGCCGCAGTTCGAGCAGCACCACGGCCAGGTAGTGGACGAAGAGCAGGGCGTCCACCAGGGAGACGGCGTACTGCACGATGCCCTGGTAGTTGGTGTCGCGCGAGTCCAGGATGCGGACGCCGTAGAAGAGCCAGTAGGAGACCACCAGGAGGAAGAGCAGCACCATGAGGAGGGCCCGGAAGACGAAGATGCGGGGCAGGAAGGCCTTGGGCCGGCGGAAGAAGAGGGCCCAGCTGCCCAGCAGCAGAATGAGCAGCTTGAAGGCCACTGAGATGAAGAGCCCCTCACAGGGCGTCCCGCACGGGTCCATCCGCTCCCCCCACAGCAGCTGGGGCAGCAGCATGAAGGCCAGCGGGGTGAGGAAGGAGAGCAGGGCCAGCGCGCCCCCCAGCAGGACGCCCAGGTGCCGGGAGCAGTCCAGGTGGGCGCTCTCCTCCATGTCCTTGGTGATGCGCGTGATGTCATCGTGCGAGAGGCTGTGCTCGGACGTGCCCGTCACCACCGTGGTGGTCTCGCCCCAGTTGTCGTCCTGCGAGAGCGAGCGCAAGGGGGGGCGTCTCAAGGGGGCCGCCGCGGCCCGCTCCCCAGCACGGCACCCCCCCGGGAAGGCCCCTCTCGGCCACAGCCCAGGAGGCCCAGGCAGAGAAGAGGCGGCGCCCCGGGCCTCCGGCTCCGTTGGCAGAGGTGTGACTTGCAGGACCGGACTCTCGCCTGCACACAGAATGCTCCCCCTGCAGGTCCAAAGCCACCAGGCGGGCTTCCCACGCACCAGCAATTCACTCTGCGTGCGGCACAGAGACTGCCCGGCTCCCGGGGAGGATGCAGAGCAAACGGGCACACGCCCCTCCCTCAGAAGGCTCCCCAGGCAGGCCGACCTCCTGGCTCAGGTGTCCGCCAGCACCTCTGCCGGGTCGGGAAAGGCTGCCGCACGCCTGCTTTCCAGGGCCCTTTCTGCTGGCAATGCTGGGTGAGCCCGAGGCTCTCTGCACGCAGCCCTGGTCTGCAGGGCGCCCGGCTGTCCTTCTCGCATTCAGCACGGGTACGATTCCTCCCCACAACTGAGCTCCCCACACGGGTGCCTTGTGCAGAAACCCCACCCGGCCACTCTTCTGACATTAGCCTGCTAGCCACACGCGGCATTTGTGCTTGCTCTTCCCTACAACCGCCCTGCAAGGTAGGCCAAACGCCAGAGGAGGGAGCCCGGTCAGACGGCTTTGCTTTCAGCAGGTTTGCGCCAGGCACAGGAGCCAGACGTGGGCCGTGGACTGGCTGCCCCTTTGGCCACTGGCTCCCAGGAATCGGTCCCTCGTACTGCCAGCTGCTTGGCTCTGGCTGGACTCGTGCGGCTCCTGCCAGACTTGGCGACTTCCTGGAACTGCAGCGGGGGAGCGGTCCTGTGCCGCAGCCGGAGTGGAGTGGTGGAGGAAGGGGATCCGGGCGACTCCACCCCAGTGGGAGAAGACCACCCCACCCCAAAGGGGCGCCGGGGCGGCAAGAGCACACCTCCTGGGATCTTCTTGCTCCTTGTTCCTCCCTCACTGCCCCCCTGTGCTGTTCCCTTCATGGGCAAGCAGGGTCTGCGCCTTGCTTGCCTTCGCTTACACGAGACTTTTGGGGTGCTGCAGACTCTCTGGGTAGCCGTCTTTGTCTGAACGGCAAGAGAACAGAATACCGGTCTCCCCACGAGCAGGAGGACTGGAAAGGCCGACAAGACGGAGCGTGTGCTTGGCAAGCGCCCCCGCCCGGCTCTTGCATGCAGTCCCAGAAATAGGCGTTCGCTCATAAGGCCTGGGGGGTGCGGGGGGGCCCCCGGGGTGACACTCACCCTCTCGTCACCGCGAGTCGACTCGTTGTCCAAGAGGGGCTCTCCAGGCGCCTGGATGGTGACAGACTTGTCCCCTCGGCTCCCGTCTCGGCTCTTGGATCGGTGCCGCTCCCGCCGCTCCCTGCATCGGACGAGCGAGACGCGTGCCGTGACCCGGGGAGCAAAGCGGGGTTCTGTGCAGCCGCGGCAGGCCCGGCCCTGTTTGCGCTCGCCCGCGGCCACCAAGGGCACCGCACCGCTGCCTCCCGCCGCGTCGCGCCCAGGGCTGGCTCCAAGTCAGCCGCTCCAACCCGGGGCCCCACAGCCCCTGCCCGTTGGACGGGCTGGCTCAGGCTGACGAGTGCGGGCAGGGGCATGCGGAGGGCGCAGACCGGCTGGGTCTCGGCAGCGTTCCCGGCTCCTGACGCTCTGCCGGGCGGCCCCGGGGCTCCTGTGCACAAAGCGGGGCTGCCCCGGACAGAGCCCCCCCCCCGCCCAGCTGTGCTTGCAGCCCGCTCCTCCCGTGCCCTCTGGCAGCCCCGGCTGACGGGCGCAGCGGGCAGGCGTGCCCCAGGCCGCCACTCCCAGAGCTCTCAGAGCCCTGTGGGGCAGCGCAGCTGGGCCCGGGGGAGGAAGAGACCCAGCGGCCCTGGACGGGGGGGCAGGGCCCCACTCTGCAGCAGGCAACGGGGGGTGAGGTCAGCGGGCCAAAGCCGCTCACCCTGCCCGGCGGGCCCCCATCCCCTGCTCTGGAAGCCCGTCTCCTGAAGGCTCCATGACTGGCTAGAAGGGCTTGCGGCCTGGACGTGCGGCTGGCTCCACGCCATCGGCCTTCCCCCCGGGGACAGGCAGACCCCAGAGGTCTCCTCTGAATTCGACTTTGGCCCCCAGGCTGAAAGAGGTCTGAAACCCCTGGATGAGGGGGCTGGGGGAAAGGCAGAGCAAAAGGGAAACTGAGACTGGCATTCGGGGAGCCTTCCAGACATTTGGCCGGGGGCCTCAGGACAATCTGCTCCATGGATCGTGCCTTGCTGTGGCGCAGGGGCTTGCGTAGCTCAAGGAAGCTATGAGCCGTGCCGGGCAGGGCCCCCCAGGACGGACAGGCCACAGCAGGGAGCGCTGCCAAAACGTGATCCACTGGAGAAGGAAATGGCGACCCTCTCCGGTACCCTTGCCATGGAAACCCCGTGGACAGTATGAACAGGCTAAGAGAAATGATGCCAGAAGATGAGCCCCTCAGGTCGGAAGGGGTCCAATGTGCTACTGGGGAAGAGCAGAGGGCTAGTACTAGTAGCGCCAGAAAGAATGAAGCGACTGGGTCAAAGCCGAAAGGACACTCAGTTGCTGATGTATCTGGTGGTGAAAGGAAAGTCCGATGCTGCAAAGATTTATACTCCATAGGAACCTGGAATATAAGATCCATGAATCAAGGTAAGCTGGACGTGGTCAGACGTGAGATGACAAGACTGAACATCAACATCTTAGGAATCAGTGAACTAAAATGGACAGGAATGGGTGAATTTAATTCGGGTGACCATCAGGTATACTACTGTGGGCAAGAATTCCTCAGAAGAAATGGAGTAGCCTTCATAGTCAATAAAAGAGTAGGAAAAGCAGTACTGGGATACCATCTCCAAAATTACAGAATGATCTCAGTTCGAATCCAAGGCAAACCTTTCAACATCACAGGAGTCCAAGTCTCTGCCCCAACCACTGGTGCTGAAGAGGCTGAAGTTGACCAGTTCTATGAAGGCCTACAGGAATTCTAGAATTAACCTTCTAGAATTAACACCAAAAAATGATGTCCTTATCATCATGGGGGATTGGAATGCTAAAGTAGGAAGCCAAAAGATAACTGGAATAACAGGCAAGTTTGGCCTTGGAGTACAAAATGAAGCAGGGCAAAGGCTGGCAGAATTTTCTCAAGAGAACGCGATGGTCATAGCAAACACTCTTTTCCAACAACCCAAGAGACGACTCTGCACATGGACATCACCAGACGGTCATCACAGAAATCAGACTGACTATGTGCTCTGCAGCCAAAGATGGAGAAGTGCTCTACAGTCAGTAAAAACGAGACCAGGAGCTGACTGTGGCTCAGATCATGAGCTTCTTGTTGCAAAATTTAGGCTTACATTGAAGAAAGTAGGGAAAAACACTAGGCCAGTCAGGTATGACCTAAATCATGGGTCCTCAAACTAAGGCCTGGGGGCCGGATCCAGCCCATCATGCCCATTTGGACCCGCTGCACCCATGCGCGTGCCCACCACTGCCACCTCGCCCCGCACGCAGGGAGGCAGCAGGAAAAGGATCTCCAAGCAAGCAAGCTGCTGCCTCATGCACCTGCCTTGCCTCGCCACGCACCCCACCCCCACCTCAGTGCACGTGCCAGCGCGCACCACCCCGGCCCCCCCACCGGCCCGTGTGCACTGCCAGCACCACCCTTCCAGCCCGCAGCTAGCGCCGGCACCTCTCAACTGGCCCCCTGCTGAATAGGTTTGAGGACCCCTGACCTAAATCCTGGTGAATATACAGTAGAGGTGACAAATAGATGTAAGGAATTAAGATCTGATAGACAGAGTGCCTGAAGAACTATGGACGGAGGTTCGCAACATTGTACAAGAGGCAGCAACTAAAACCATCCCAAAGAAAAAGAAATGCAAGAAAGCAAAATGGTTGTCTGAGGAAGCTCTACAAATAGCTGAGGAAAGAAGGGAAGCGAAAGGCAAGGGAGAAAGGGAAAGATATACCCAATTGAATGCCAAATTTCAGAGAATATAAGAGATAAGAATGCCTTCTTAAATGAACAATGCAAAGAAACAGAAGAAAACAATAGATTAGGGAGGACCAGAGATCTCTTCAAGAAAACTGGAGATATGAAGGGAATGTTTCATGCAAAGATGGCCATGATAAAGGACTAAAATGGCAAGAACCTAAAAGAGGCAGAAGAGATTAAGAAGAGGTGGCAAGATTACACAGAAGAATTATACATGAAAGACCTTAATGTTCCTGATAACCACAATTGGCTGGTCGCTGACCTCAAGCCAGACATCCTGGAATGTGAAGTCAAATGGGCCTTGGGAAGTCTAAGCAACAACAAAGCTAGTGGAGGCGACAGTATTCCAGCTGAGCTACTCAAAATCCTAAAAGACGATGCAGTAAAAGTGCTACACTCAATATGTCAGCAAACTTGGAAAACTCAACAGGATTGGAAAAGGTCAGTTTACATTCCAATCCCAAAGAAGGGCAATGCCAAGGAATGTTCAAACTACCACACCATTGCATCATTTCACAAGCTAGCAAAGTTATGCGGATGGAGATGCAGGAAAAAGCTGGGCTGTTTTGCTCTTGCAAGCTCGGCTCCTTGACAGCCCCCTCCGCCTTTCCCAGCCTGGTAGCCTCCCCACATGCTGGATTAAACTCCCAGAATGGGGAAGACCAGGGTCCCTTCACTGCCAGTGGGTTACCTCACAAGCCACCTTCTTGTTGTTTGCACAAATTTGCAGTAAGCATCTAATAAAATAATTTATTAAAATAACCTCCAGCACTTTACTGTAGCATTTATTTGCCACACACACGTGGTAGAAAAGCAGCCTAAAACAGAGCTCAGGAAGTGACGGTAAAGGGAAGACCAGGCAGCACAAGGGAGTCTTCCAAACAGTCGCTTCGGCTGCCTCAGAGGGGAGGGCGGAGGGGCAGCGAGCCCCCCCAGTTCCACCCAGCCCCTCGCCTCCTGCAGTGGCCATGGCATGGTGAGCAGCCGAGTCCCTTCTGCACTGGGCTACTTCCTTTATCTGCATTCCTTCTTCTTTCGTGTTACTAAATGAAGGAGTGTGCAAGTATTTACTACTGTAAGCTACCTTGAATCCCAGTACTGGGGACAGGGAGAATACAAACCAATGCAGCTGGAGTCCCAGAAATCAGTGTAGCCAAGAAGCCCCTTCCCACCTCTGCAGCAGGCCCATGAAACCGTGTGGCCCCCACTGGCAGGGGGAAGTGCCCGAAGTGCACTGGCGGAAAGGTGGCAGGTACGATCAGCGAAAATCCCGCTCGGCTCCTGAAGACGGCCTTGCATGCCCCACGCAAAGGGGGAGCTGGAGAACGAGACGCCCCGGCCCCGGCCAGCTCACCTGTGCTTCCGAGAGCTGCGCGAGTGCCCAGACTTGTAGGAGTACCCGGAATACTGCGACTCGTTGTCCATGTTGTCGGATCGCCGAGCCTTATAGCGGTCCACGTTGGCTGGCTTTGGTCTCCCAGGTCCCGGGGCAGCAGCCAAGGCAGCCGCGGCCTCCTTCAGCGTGGGCTTCTTCAGGCCGAGCGGCACCTTCAGGAAGTCGACCTTCACCTTGAGGGACTCTATTTTGATCGGCTGGCTGGGCTTGTCTCAGAAGAAAAGGGGCACCTGCGTGGGGAGGGAGAGGGGGACGCTCGGCTGCCATCCCGCCCATCGAGAACACCCGCACCCGGCACAGGGGCGCGCTGGGCCGCCCGAGGGCCTCCGTGTGGCTGGCAGGGTGCTGCTGCCGGGCACCCCCACTCTAAGCCCCCCCCCGGTCCCTCCACTGGCAGCTGCCACTTTGCAAGGGGACGCCCTGTGAATCCGGACGCCCGGCGCAGAGGCCCGTCCGAAGGGAACGACCCCAAGCCCCTGATGTGGCGCGGCGAGACCCTGGGCAGAAGCACGTGGCCGAGGGGCCCTTGCTCCGCGCACAGGCTGCAGGCAGGCCACGCGCCCAGCTCAGGGACGGGCGCAGAATCGCCGAGCGCAGGGGCCTGAGCGTCCCCAACCCAAAGCCCTCCAGCCGTGCTGGACTACAACTCCCAGCGCCCCCAGCCAGCAGAGAGTGGCTAGTCCGACTCATCTGGAGGGCACTAGGCTCAGGGGCTCGGTAACAAGCAGCGGACGCACAAAAGACAGGAATGCACAGAGCCAGAGCAGGGGGCCAGCAGAACGGGGGGTTGAACCCCGATTCACGGGGAGGAGGGAGACTCTTGGGGAACAGGGAACACCACCGTTCCCAACACCAAGCCGGACGGCGAGAGCGCTTGTCTGGCTGTTTCCGAAGAAAACCGGCCCTGTGAGGACTGCCTGCATCCACTTGGCCCGGTCCCCCTTCCAGTAGGGCCGGTGCCGCAAGCGAGTGCCGCTCACCGGCGTGCCCCGCTCTGCCTCTCCACCTCTCATAAAGACGCAGGCGCAGCCAGCCGAGAAATGAATTATTCAGGGCGGCCCGCAGGGCTTCGGGTGTCTGTCTGGACAAGCCTGATGCAGCCGCCCTGGGAGGAATACGAGCTGGCAGAACGCAGAACAGCTGGTTCCCAGCAACCCCTGGATCTGGCCCTCTCCCTGCTCCTCGGGGGGCGGGGGCGAAGGGCAGGGCAGGGCAGGGCAGGGCCTCGGCCAGAGCAGGTGCGGGTTCCACCCCACAGGGATCTGGGGAACCAGGTGAGGAAAGAAGCCCTCTGGGCGGAGCCCCTGCCGAGGAGCTCCGTGGGCCCCGGCAGGGGAGGAAGTTCTGCCTGGGGCCCTGTGGTGCAGGAGAGAGGTGCTCGTTGGGACTGGCGTGGTGGGAACCCCGGCCCTAACCCAGCACGGGCCTGGGTGCTGCAGCTTCTCGCATGCGGCGCCCGAGAGCAGCAGGCCGGTCACACTGATGCTCGGCTCGGGCAGCGTCTGTCCCGTCGCCCACTGTCCGTGGCTGCAGCCGGGTGGAGAGAGCGGGACGCCCTTCTGTCTGGGGAATTTCAGCGGGCTTCCTTTTCAAGACAAGCCCCTGTGGCAAGACCAGCTGCCTGGGGCAGGGGGAGCCGCTCAGCGGACATGCCGGCCCAGGGCGCAGCTGCGTGAAGAAGGCCGACTCCACGCTGGCATAGTAAGGAGCGGAACAGAAAACTGGACTGTCAAGATCTTACTTCCCTTATCCAGATTTTTAGTGCAGCTTGGACTGCTGTGTCCAGTTCTGGTCACTTTATCTGAAAAAGGACATTAATGAGTTGGAAAAGTCACAGAGAAGGGCAACAAAAATAATCAGGGGGCTGGAGCTGGCTGAAATGATGGAATTTGCTGCCACGGAAGTGGTGAGGGTCATCAATTCGAATGGCTCTAAAAGGCGACTGGCCGTGTTCGTGAGGGAGGGGGCTCTGTGCGGCTACTGGCCTTGCTGGCCACGGGCGGCCTCCCCCGCCAAAGGCGGCACACCTGCGTGCTGCGGTTGCCAAGGAGCTGGGCTGGCGGAGGCCTCGCACACCTCCTGCCTGGGGATGCGCCGGACAGCTGGGTCACACAGCGTGCACAGTGCGGGACGGGACTGGGCCATGGGTCTGATCCAGCAGGGCTTTCTCTCGTCCTTATAACCAAGGCAAAAAGAAGGCCAGAACTTTAGGCGCCCCGAGCTTCTGCAGCAGTCCTCTCACGACAGGTGTCGAACCCGAGGGCCAAACTCCATTGGCCATTCCCAGGCTGAAAAACACTGTTTTATTTTATCTTAAACCTCTTGCAGCCAGTAACAAAGCCTGAGGGAAGCAGCTCAGCCTTTCAGGATGGGGAAAACACACACAAAAGGCAGGAAGCCGGCAAGGACGGCTGGCTGGGGAAGGGGTGGAGCCAGGGGAAAGGCAGTGGCCACCTAGGGATCCCGCTGCGCTCACCCGCCTCGGGATGGGTCCGTGGTGGTTCTTGCCCCCCCTGCTCTCCCCGCTGTGTGGCCAGTCTCGTGCTCACTCCCAGCCCCAGAGCCAACCTTGCCACTGGCTCTCCACAGCCCAGAAATCGCAGAGATGCACCGGAAGCAACCCTGCCAAATTGCAGCTGCCAGAACCAATCAGCGCCGGGAGCAAGAAGCAGGTGGCTCCTGGTCCTTGCCCTGCTGCCGCCCGGTGGCCCAGAGGCCAGTCCATGGGGGACCCTCCCGCCCCCGCTCCTGCCCCCACTCGCCGGACAACGCCTTGGAAACGAAGCCACGTCACTCGCTCTGGCTCCGGCCCTGCCGAACGCACGGACACAGGCCCCAGTGCAGAGTGGGCCCGGCTCCAGCACACGATGCCGAGGCAGCAGATCTGCTCCTTGAAGAGCCTCTTCCCCATGGCAAATTCAGGCCAAATGGGAGGAAGGGGAGCTGTGCGCTCAGCACCGCTTCGGAGAGGCGGCTCTGCCAGGCCCGAAAAGCCAGACGGGGCCACTTCTCGAGCGCCAGAGTGCGCCCATCACCGCTCAGCAGGCTGCAGCCGCCGCCACCCTCTGCCAGCCGCCCCCTCGCCTCCCCATTTCTCTGGTGGCTACTGCCATCCAAAAGGCCCTGCCAAGTCAGCCCTCGGCCTGTGGCCCAAACCCCTCGTCAGCTCAGCACAGCCTCCCCAGCCCTTGGGAATATGGCAAGACACGTGTGGCCTGGCCTGCCCTGCCCCGCCCGAGGGGGCAAGCCACTCCTGTCTTGCCGGCACGGGGCCGGAACAGACTGGGGCACAAAACCAGCTGGCACGGGCACCCTGTCACACCCGAGTGCAGACGGCACCGGCACCGTCCCCGTCTCCCATCCTGCGCAGGGCGGGGAAGGCTGGGACGGGCCCGCCAGCCAAGGTTTGATGAGGCGCAGCTGCCGCTGAATCACCCAGCCCTGCACGTCGCGTCTCCGGGCCGCCCTCCAGGGACGTGCCCCTTCATTCCGGGCCCAAAAAGGCCCACGTGTGCAGGGCGGGACAGCCTGTGTTGGCAGCAGGGAGCGCCCCCCTCCACCTCCGGTGAGGGGGATCCTCACGCTGGCTTCTCCTCACGTGCACCCCCCCCCCAGAATCCTCCCACTCCCGAAACTCAGGAAGCCAGCCCAGGTACCTCAGCAGTTCAAAGCGGGCGAGGGGGGATCACGGGCTTCGCGGGATGCCAGGAGGGGATCCGGCTGGCCTCTTGCTGGCGGAGCTCAAGGGTGGAGCGCCCCCCCAGAGGCCACCATCCCGCTGGGTTTTGATCAGAACACGCAGTGTGAATGGATGCGCGTGCGCACAGGCGCACACACGGGCATATAAAGACAGGCACCTGGGCACACAAACCCAGCAGGGCCAAGTGGAACCAGACAGGGTGCGGCTGCGGCCAAGTCAGGTAAGTGGCTGCTTTGAAATGCACGAGTGCCTGGAGCTTCTTGGCTCACGGGGCGCTCAGAGGGATTTGGGAAAAGCAAAAGGAAGAGAAAGCAGGTGGAAGCTGGGAAGACCTGACTCTCCACGTGACCCAAGAAACCCTGGCTCTAGACGCCCTGAGGACCCATCCTGAAACAGGGGAAGACCTCTGCAAGGGACTTAGCCTCTGCGACATGCTGATGTTCTCAGGTGGGCTTTACTGTGATTTTAAAGCTATCTAATTCAGGATGGATTGGAATTTCAGGTCCCGTTTTATTTTCGTTAAGGCTACTCTCATGTTTTGCACTGGGTGCGAAGAAGCATCAGCAAAGTCATTCAAATTCATCTTCTGATCCCAAGTAGCATAATATTTATAAGCATTTACAGGACAAGGAGTACTGATTCAGTTTTTATACTTTATTTGTCCTGGTACCACAAGAAGTCCTTTCCCCCCACACCATTTATATAGGGAAAGAAAATAATGTTGTTTAGGAAATCAGGTTTCCATCAATACTTCTAATAAGTCTTAAGTCAACTTAAAGTAGAGTTGAAGTTAATAAATGCCCGAGACCTAATCATGCCCCATTTGTCTCTCGCTACCAAATACCAAACAGAGTAAACTAGATAAGGTTCCTCGCCATCATGCAAAGGTCATATGCTAACCAGTTTTAATATTACTGTCTCAAATGGATTCTGAGTGTGTTTGATTTTAGAGGGAGGGGCTGAAGCTTTTGTAGCTAAATCTAATCTCCTACCCGAGTAAAAACTGAATCCTGAATGCAACGCACCTCCTTAACACCGCCAACAAATTGTTCTGTTTGTCATCCGGCGAGTGTCACGGCTACCTCATCTCCCAGTTCTGAAAAATTAAGAAACCTTGCTCTGTTTATTGAAATGGATCATGACAAGATCAACTTTTCCGAGAGCTGCTATCTTGGTTTAAAAGACATCTTAAAAGCTTTTGTTTTGCGATACTTTTCCTCGCAGCAGCTACTTCTGCTGGGGCAACACCGGGACTGTGATGCCACATTTCACAGCTCTTTCAGGTGCCATCCAAGGGCTACTGACCTACTGTCAGTGAAAACTTGCAGAGGCCTCATTCCCCCAAAACAGAAAATGTTTTTACACTGGAATCTTACAGAACATGCACTCAGTTTCTGCACACCAAAGACCTCTTTGCAATTCCAGCAGTCTTCCAAAAGCATCCCTTCTGTTCCCCCAAAGCGCGACAGTTTAGCTCCCTCCAAAGCACCTTTTGGGGGGACCTGCTCCCCACCGCAATCCAGAGGGGTG